GATTGGCGATTTCAAAATTACAATGAGAAATTAGCAGTCCAGGTTTCCTCACGATGTTTACCTTCACCTTATATCAGTGGTGTCTAAATAATCATAGAAAGTACAAGTATAACTCGGAAAAAGTCACATTGGTACTTGCCAGATTACGAACTTCAGGCCACAACGCCACATAAAACATTCTGTACACACATAGTATTACAAATAGCTAAATAATGTATGTCATAACACAATACTGTCATTTGTTTGATGTTGGTTAATATAATATATTATGTTATGTGTCATAGTGGTAATGAGACGTTATTAAACGATGCGTTCTCTTCCTTATCTTGTTTTTTTTACATGATAGGTCGGCGAATGAGCTTAGGGATTACCTGATGGTAAGCAATCGGCGCCACCCATGGACCCCACAAAACCAGTGAGCCTATGTCAAAAAAAATTTACCATTACACAGTTGGAAATATGTTACATTCCACCTTGCTCGCTTTTTATCCTGAGAAAATGTAGGTACGATTCCCGTGTGATACGAATTGTTTTTTTTTTATATTTCACACATTTGATTGTCGACGCTTAATAAACCAATCACCAACAACAATAACTACTACATTAATCGCGTTTATAAATGCGAATCCCTATAAGTTTCTTGGTTTGTCCCGCTCTATCGCCTTAAGTACTGAGCCGATTTTGATAAACTTTTGGGCTGAGTATCTTGTCTTAGTTAATATACCGTATATATACCATTTCATTGAACATATGCTAAAAACATGGTACAGTAAATTTAAATATTATATTGTACAGTGTTGGTGTTAAGTTATGATAAAGAACATACTTAAGACATGCCTTTTCCACAGACGGGACCCTATAGGCCAAAGACGGGGCCCTATAGGACTGACGTTCAGCCAGGGTTGCGGGGCAAGCGCAATGAGGCACCGCCTCGGCCTAGACCAGGAGAAGGAATAGGGGGGGGGGGGGGAATATTTTTAGACATTAAGAGTCTGACAATCCCTCCCACCTCCCCACGGGAGAAGAAATTTGATGATTTTTCCTCAAAAAAACAGAACATGCCTTTTATAAGCATTGAAAACTTTCAAACAAAAACTTGTGACCAAACGCATAAAATATACCATCAACAATATAGGCCAATTACATAAACATACCTATAAAAAAAACTGCAAGGAAAACAAATACTATACATATAAGGCGATAGTTATGTCGCGTTGATTACATACTTTTACTTAATTACTACAATTATTAGCACTAGCCTTTCTTCACGGTGTCACCTGTAATTAAATAGATGTCGTGCCGTCGATTATAACTATCATTATATCATAGCCGTCGGATGATCTTGGACATACTCAAAAACACAGGAGGTTGAAGTTTTGTTAACCTTTTGTTTGTTAGGTTTAAGATTTGAGAGGGACTGGGCTTCCGATAACTTCATTCACACAACGAGGTGGTGTTTCGCGCCGGTTTTTTATAAGGCCATGGCATCACTCCGGTTGGGCAGACGATTCGTGGCGAAGCTTGGCTCTCCCACACTCTCCACTGCTATAAAAAAGACGTTCTCTCGTACGGGGTCGCTGCATTATGCTGAGCGTGGGCCATTTCGCGTGCTTGGACGCATATTTTTCTCCTACCCTCTACTTTTGTGATATTGTTTTTACCATGCTTAATGTATTTTTATTTTAACGTTATTTTATTATCTTGTTCGTTTTGTGTCTTTTATGCGTCCCAGACGCGAATAAATACTTTTTCTTTCTTTCTTTCCTCTTCAGAATAGATCGCTGTTTTAAGCGTTTAGGTTCGGCCGTAGCTATCCACGCGCACCTCAAAGAGCCAAGAGACCCCTACAGACGGGACCCTATAGGGCTGATGTTCAGACGGGGATGCGGGGCAAGCGCAATGAGGCACCGCGGCCTCAGCCGAGAGCAGAAGAAGGAACATGAGGGTTTTTAGTCAGTAAGAGTTTGACACTCCCTCTCGCCGTAACCTGGGCGAGAGATGTCATTAAATGATTAACCTTCCTCAAAAAAGTGTCCAGGTGTAGCAGATAACGCTGCTCCCCAGTCTCTGTCGATTGAGCCGTAATAAATAAAAGTCCTTGCCTAACTTAATACTTCGGTATTGGCTTATTAATATATTCTACTCTCCGAAGCCAAATTAAAACCAGATTAATTTCAAACAGACCACTTTGAGCACTTCTAAACGTTAAAAAAAAGCAAAAAGTTCAACTTTGTGTAAGTCTGTCGCTCTGTCCTCTAGTGAAGCTATTTGCTCGTTCCAAAGTGTAGATTCCTATGGAGAAGAACGAGCAAGAAACTCCATGGTTACTCTTTTTTAATTAATTTCACAAATCATTTTTGTTACATTATTAAGTCGATGATATTACCTATGTGAAAAGGTTTCTCCCGTCAACAAGTTTTGTACAAAATAATAAAAGTGAAATATACATTTTTAGGTAAGTACCTTACATTATTGATGAGTATTATTTATTTCTTGTCACGTCCCGTATTCTGCATGTTGAAGTGCATACAACCGCATATTAAACTATCCCAACCTTAAATCCGATTTTCAACTTTATACCTTTGTTATACGTCTGCAAATTAATTGTAAATGTGTGTGTTTTTGGGTTAGGATGATGTGCTAGTGTTGGTATATTATTATGCGTCCATTCGATTCGTCCCTTCGTCCTTTGGATAGTTTTTAGTATGCATATCGTAACATGCAGGCAACGTGTGAACAAACCGACTTGTTGTTATTTATTATAGTGCTTTTTGAGGTAGAACCCCAGATTTTGTTTAGTAATAAATTGTGTTTAGAATTAGATTGAAGTTTGATACAAAATGTGACACCATAACATTATATTCTCATGTATGAGGGCCTGGTAAATACCAACGAGACTTTTTCCGAGTTATATGTACCTTTTAAGATTATTTTATTTAGACAACACTGATAGATATACGATGAATGAAAACATGTTGGAAAAACCTGGCTGGAAACTTCTAATTATAAGTTCGAAATTGCAAATCCGCCTTGAGCAAGCGTACCAGTGTGTTAATGCTTAAACCTTCTCTGTGTGAGAAGACGCCTTTATTCAGTAGTGCAACAACCACGCTTGCTCAAGGCGGATTGGCGATTTCAAACTTATAACAAGAAATCATAAGTCCAGGTTTCCTCACGATGTTTCCCTTCACCGTTTGTCAGCGGTGTCTAATCGTAGAAAGCACACATAACTCGGAAAAAGTCACTTTAGTAATTGGCAGGTTTCGAACCTCCGGGCCACCACGACAATTTTTTAATAATAAATTAAATTTCATAATAAATTATAATCAAACGTACATGGCAACATAATTAGAAATTCTACGCGACAACAATGATGACACGAAACAATGCCTAGTTACCTAATGCTAGAGGCGTGATGTTACGGCCGATAGTGAAATGAGAATTATAATAATGATAAATATAATATGTCTGTATGTGTGTACGTGTCAAGCATACTTATTATATGAAGTAACTTGTACTATGTCTGTGACTAATGGACGTGTAATAAAACGGCCTGGAGCAGGAGAAGGAGGATGGTTCTTAGTCAGTAAGAGTCTGACACTCCTTCTCGCTTCAACCTAGATGAGAGGAGTTATTCAAACCTCACGATTCTATGAGGGTTGAGCGGCCCACGGCCCCGGCCTGCACCAGGAGATGGAACTGGGCGTTTTTAAATTCAAATTGAAATTCTTTATTTGCATGTTAAGGTGGGTACAAGGATCTTAAATTAAAATAACAGGCACAGCTTAACGGCCTTTTTCAGGCGTTGCAAAGAGGGCTATTACTAGCTTACAAAATAATATTAAATTACTTAATTTACATCACATTGCATAAAAGAGAAAAAAAAACAAAAAATAGTTTTTTACACAGTAAGAGTCTGCCACACTCTCTTGCAACCGAGAGAAGCCATTGAACTATGCTACGAAACCCTAAAAAGAATAAAATGCGTATAATTTACCTGTAATCTGAAAACCACATTTTGTAAAAGTATTTAAAAAAAAACTTTAGCCCAGACTAGGATTCTCCTGTGTCGTGGGTGCGGTTACAAACATACACATGACACCTAGATCCGGAACAACAATTCGTGGATCACACAAAGAGTTGTTCAGTGCGGGAATCGACCCCGCGACACGTTGTACGGTAGCCAGTCGCCCAGCCACCTTACCAACCATGCTGTCATAGCTGTGAATATATCATTAAACATCTGAGCATGATAGTCGTAACGTTTATACAACATCACATCTACAATATAGTAAACATTTCAACAAATCAATGTACTGATATTCAGTGAAAGCCAGTGTGTAGGTACCTGCGCGTACGCATACCAGCGGACCGCGACGTTGTACCGTGCGCGTGCGCCGACGCATTGCTGGCCAATAACGATTCGTTGTTTATATGTACTTATTCGTTATTTTTTGCGATTTTAATTGAAATTTTTATAATGTTGTAATATATCATATTTATTAGTATTTGTTACCCAATTTCCAACTTTCTGTAATGACGAATGTCGGAAATGGGACTTAGGAAGTTTATAACGCGAATTAATAATATTATAATTATTTTTACATCAAATTTTAAAAAAGATATGTACTGAACTCATCTATACTTCTATACTAATATTATAAAGAGGTAAAATTTGTAAGTTTGTATGTTTGTATGTTTGTATGTTTGGGGTAATCTTTGGAAACGCTGATCGGATTTCCAAAATTGTTTCACTGATAGATAGCTACAATGTTCCTGGGTGATATAGGCTAAAACATCACGCTACAATTAAATGGAGCCGAGCACCGGATGAAACCGCGCGAGATTAGCTAGTTATTAATATTTTCTGTTCACTGCAGGACGGTTTTAAATACCTTTTTTTATTCATCCTTACGCATGTTATTATAAAGATCAAAAAAAGCACATACAAACTATAGTTTCAATATCCAAGTCGCTAAACCCTGCTCCTCTTGTTCCAGGGTTCAGACCCTCGCGTGGCGACCTGCCGTGGGCGGCTGCAGACTCGGCGCTGCCAGCTCAACCAGGAGATCAATAAAGAGCTTCGGCTTCGGGCCGGCGCTGAGAACTTGTTCAAGGTAAGAAGAAGAAGAAGAAGAAAAAAGTGAAGAAGAAGGATTTATACCCCTTTCGGCTAGGGTTCTGTGCGTGCCTCAAACAGCCATTAGACCACTAGAGATGAGGTCGTTCAGAGTCAATGTTCAGCCGGGGTCGCGGGGCAAGCGCAATGAGGAGCCTCAGCCTGTAGCAGGAGAAGGAAAGGGGGGTTTAAGTCAGTAACAGTCTGACAGTCCCTTTCACTTTACTCTAGACGAGAGAAGTCATTAGATAATTTTCCTCTCAAAAAAATACCTTTAGGCTGCAATGTTGTCGTAGTGCCTGAGCAGCCGGCTGTGTGGGTTCAACATCGTAACTGAATCTGTCTGTTTGGGCGTGTTGTATGGGGTAATACGTGTTCTATGCATAAACACAGTGACATGACACTCGCCAACCCAGAGAAGTTACGAGTGCGTTGCCAGACTTTTGGGTAGCGTTTCGGAAATTTTGGGAAGCATTGTGTGTTTACTCACACGGCGAAACAACGCTGTGGTTGTTTGACGCCGGTATTCTGTGAGGCCGTGGTATCACTCCGGTCGAGCCGACCCATTCGTGCCGAAGCATGGCTCTCCCACACATAGTTTTATTCGGTAAATTCACGAGATTAAGTCGTTGCTTTCAGTCAATTTACTATGTCCCATGGCAGTTACTAATCAATAATTAATCATGAAATTTCTTTAATGACCCCTAATGACACAATATGTCGACAGCTGAACGACTGTTCTAAGGGGAACCATTCCTAATACTTGGCAGGTGGCTTTGCCTGCCTGTAATGTCGAATAAAATTTAATTCTGTGTGTGATGCTGTCCAGTTTTATGACAAACCTGTCCAAAAGTTTTGTTATTTTCAAGAAAACCCAAAATAATGCAAGTGATTCCCTAGTTTAGTTAGCTCTTAGAAAACAGTCGCAACGTCATAAATCTAAATATCCATTAAAGTCCACGGAAAATATTTCCTATATTTGTCTCCACTCTGATATTACAACACGAAACGGTATAAAAACCTCGGTTCCTGCTTGCCCCGCCTGTTTCCTAGTACTAATCACAACATTCTCCAGTAATCGCCATCGCGGCGTGACGTCACGTGCAAATCGTGCAATTGACACTTTCGCTGCGCCCGCGCATTGCGATCTGATACCGTTTTTGTTGCGTTTGATGAAATGTACCTTTTATATAGAATCTTTACGGGCGAAGACGAAGTGTTACTTGTGTCTTTTAAGTGTGGGAGAGTCGTGCCTCGGCATGACTGGGCCAACTCCACCAGACTGATACCACAGTCTCACAGAAAACCGGCGTAAAACAACGCTTATCTTATGTTACGTTCTGTGAGTGGGATTACCGGAGGCCTTATACTTTCCTTCTCCGAACGCTTATCATCAGGTGGTCCATCTATTTGTTTATCGCCTCATACCCTAAAGTCTTCAGATGGGGCCCTAAAGGGCTGATGTTCAGCCGGGATTGCGGGGTAAGCGCAATGAGGCACCGCGACCTCGGCACAGAGCAGGAGAAGGAACAGGGGGGTTTTTAGTCAGTAAGAGTCTGACACTCCCTCCTGCCCGGCCCTGGGCGGGAGAAGTCATTTGATGATTTTCCCCTCACAAAAAAAAAAAAAAAAAAAAATACCCTAAAGTCTTACATTAGGTAGGTAGGGACATTACATTTGTTGGCAACCCCCTCTCCCCCCTGCTTCCCAGAGACGTCATAAAAGCCAACTAAGACACTACACATCAAAAACTAGGCAGCTGATCTGTGATAAACCTGAAGCTTTTAAATGGCCAATTACAACTCTTATTACCAAGCATTGAGTATTATAGCAAACCAAAGTACTTTTTTGGAGTTCATAGCACAACAGTGGGTTGGTGTTAGGCACCATTTACCTTCCACATCCCCATTTTTTAAGAGGAGAAAAATAATTCATCGATTTGTGTTTCGCCGTGTGATTGAGGTAATCGGTGGTCTAATCCTTCCCTAAATTCTCAAAATCTCTCTCTCAGTTTTTATTATAAGGATGAAGAAGACTGTTTATATGTCAGGGGTCAAAAATGCAATAACACTCTACCTACCAATTTTAAAATGACTAAAATTTCTTTGTTGTAAAAGTGCAATGGTACACAGCCAGTTTATTCAATAATTTAGATTATATGCTATAAATTAAAGCAGTCCTCAACCATTGACTGTATTCTACAAAAATATTTTGGCCATTTTAAAATTGGTAGAATGCAATTGCGTTTTTGACCCCTGACTGTACAATAACATCATTTAAATAGAAGAGAAATTTAATATCAGCATGGCACATAACAGCGGGGGCGGATCGCTAGCAAGTTATAAAGTAGCTTCCTAATCACTCGCATCGCTCAGCCCATTCACAATTGTACCTATAGTCATATCAAAGTACTCACGACATTCAGTTCAACGCCCTTATTCATTGACCGGTAAATAACATTACAAGTTGAAGAATTGTTCCTACCACGGTATACATGAGATAAACAATCTTTTTTTTATGCGATAGGTCGGCAAACTAGCAGACGGATTACCTGATGGTAAGCAATCAGCGTCGCCCATGGACACCCGCAACGACGGAGGTGTTACGAGTGCGTTGTCGACCTTTTGGGGATTAGGGAATTGGAGATTTTATGAAAGGGAACGGATATATATATACACGACATTTGTAATTTTGTATTCAAAAACATTCACACATTCACTGAAATACGAGATATACACAACATAAACACCCGCCACAAGAACCGACTATATCTTCCACCCTCTCGAATTAAAATGTTAAACCAAAGTCCACAATATATGGCTATAAAAATATATAACAACCTGCCACAAGATATAAAAAAGGAAACCAGCTTAATAACATTTGATAGAAAACTGAAATCCTTTCTAATAAACAAATGCTTTTATTCGGTAGAGGAATTTTTAAATATATCTATAAATAAATAACGATAATTTAACTAAATATTAATTTATAAAAACACGTGAGTATATATAAAAATACTACTTAAATAAGCAGAAAATAATATACATATCTATGATGATCAAACATATAAATTTTATAATAGTACCTACCTACTCAGAAATATTATTTAATATGAATACAGCGATCAACTAAAAATGATCTCTTTTAATTGTGTAAATTTATTTTCTAATTAATTATTAATAAGTATAATATTAGTAACAAGTATCTACCCTCTAGTATGTTTGCAATGCCTGGAAAAGGCTACTAAGTTTTTAAGTGCCACTAGCAATAAGACCTATGTATACACTTAGTTTGCAAATAAATTTGAATTTTGAATTTTTTGAATTTTTGGGATAGGGAAAGGATTGGGCCTCCGGTAACCTCACTCACACGGCGAAACACAACTCTTTGGTTCTTCCACGCCGGTTTTCTGTGAGGCCGTGGTATCACTCCGGTCGAGCCGACCCGTTCGTGCCGAAGCATGGCTCTCCCACACTTGTTTTGTGTCAATCTACTTCTTTTCTAGTGATTGTGTCACTTATATTATGCCGCCTGAGAAGTACGAGCGTGTCTGTTTAATTATGATGAAGTTAAGCTAACGTTGGTCCGGTTCTAGTTGAAATTAGTTAGAAATATTTTCCCGGCTGCATGTTCTTTGTAGAGAGGAGGTTATCATCGAATGACTACTCTTGCAGACAATAAACTCCTTCTCCTCTCACCAGGGAGGTAACTTTTAATGGAACTTTTAGTCAACATTATTGACTGCAAGGTTGGCGCGGTGGCTGGGCAACTGACTGAGGCGCAACGTGTCGCGGGTTCGATGCCCGCACGGAACAACTCTTTGTGTGATCCACAAATTTTTGTTCCGGGTCTGGGTGTGATGTGTGTGTGGAATTGTATGTTTTTAAACGCACCTACGACACAGGAAAAAACTTAGTGCTTTTTTATGACGTCCCGAAGTTTTTTAATAAAAAAAAAACTTTTTTCTCACATCTTATTTTCCCGTCCCCAGGCCACAACGAACAGAAAACTCCGTGAGACGGTGGCCCTAGAGCTGAGCTTCGTGAACTCCAACCTGCAACTCCTCAAGGAACAGCTGGCGGAGCTCAACTCTTCGGTGGAACTCTATCAGAGCGACAGGTATTTACACAGCAGTTTGACAGCTGTCAGATTTTATATTATACAAGCGCTTCCCCAGACATAAGTCTGAGCTAGATCGATTTCTCGTCCCCGGAAACCCGCACATAAGTATTAAATTTCAACGAAATCGAGCCGTTTCCGAGATTACATGCATTTTCAAGCAATCTGCGCCATATATAATACGGCCGGGCTGATTTGTGAAAAAAAGTCGAAAATCATTTATTCCAATTAGACCCTTACAGGCACTTTTTAACAAAATATTGAAGATATAGTTTCAGTCTGTCGGTCAGTCCTCTTAGTGAAGCTATTTGCTCGTTCCAAAGTGTAGATTCCGATGGAGAAGAACGAGCAAGAAATGGTGGTTACTCTTTTTCAATCAGTTTCACATACAGATTCCTTTTTTTACAAACAGTATTGGTTCAATTATGTGAGAACAGTGTACCTAACACTAATATTTATTCAGAGAAATGAATCTAAATAATCCAGGGCACCACTCAAATGCATACAGAAAAATTCATTTAAACCGATCAAGGCGTTTAGGAGGAGTTCAATGACATACATACGTACAGCAGAATTATACTTACCTATATATGTATAAACATTATTTGAATATTAGCTAGTTAGTCCCTCGCAGTTTTACCTGCTGCTCGGCTTCTATAGATTAAAGCGTGACGTTTTATAGCCTATAAACCTCCTCGGTAATTCGACTAAACACAAAAAGAATTGTTCAATTCGATCCAGCTGTTCCGGAGATAAGCAAAACGTTGCCCCAAACTAGGGTTTTTTCCTGTGTCGTAGGTGCGTTTACAAACATACAATTTCACATGCACATCATACCCAGATCCAGAACAACAATTTGGGGATCACATAAAGAGTTGTTTAGTGCGGGAATCGAACCCGCGACACGTTGCGCAGTCATAGTATATAGTTATATGTTTATAGCTGGAGTTTTCTTACACAAAATGTTGTTACTGTTATTCTTCCATGTAAGGATACTCAAGTCATTCACATTTCACATTAAAGCCCAATTTAAATAAATAAAATACATATGTGAAAGTCATTTTTTATTGTAGTTACTTACCCAAAAATTAAGAAGCTGAGACATTATCGAAACTAATATTATAAATGCGAAACTAACTCTGTCTGTCTTTCTATCGTATATCTGTCTTTTCTTCACGCCGAAACTACTGAACCTATTTGTGTGAAATATGGTACAGAAATAGTTTGGAACTCGAGAAAGGACTTAAGGATAGTTTTTAAACCAAAAATCTGCAGGAAGTCACTATTCCACGCGAACGGAGTCGCTGGCATAAGCTAGTTATGTTAATACGAGTATATATGGGTAGGTACCTACATTATATTTAATAGCATTGCCTAACCTTACTTTCTTGCAATCACAGCCTTGTGTCCATATAAATAAATGCTAGCTTACCATATAAGTAAACTTATAATATAATTTAATACAATATAATTGTATGAGGTTATATGCCTTGCTTTCATATGTACTGGATCATTTATTTTGACTAATTGGGCAAATAAATTATATTTTTTGGAGCACAAATTATACTAGAAATCCTTGACAAGTTTTTAAATTCAATATGAATGTAAGAATATAAAATTAAACGTGTCTGTATTCACAGGAAATCATTTGTACACGGCTATAGTATCTACGACGACGGGACAAAATTTAAGTGACAGCTAAAAAAAAATATTTTAAACTGGCTGCCGCCTATATTAACTACATACCGCCTATATACACTAAATATTAAGGCTGCTCTCCAGGATATTTCCTATCTACGTACCAAATTTAAACCAAATCGGTCCAGTCATTTTTGCGTATATATATGACTAACAAACATAAACCCATACATTCTCACAAGCTTTCACATTTATAATATTAGTAGGGTTGAGGATACTTCTTCGGGACATTTTCTTATTTTGTCAAACCGTCCCCAACATTTTAGTTCCACTTAATAACTTTTTATCCGACTAAAGCAAAAGAAGGGTTATTTGTAAAATAAAAATCTTGTTCAGTCTTTAAAGAAAATGACAAGAGTGCACCAGTCGAGAAAATAATTCAAATAGCGTATTGCAGACTTTAGTATTATTTAAAAAAAAACTGAGAGCCTACCATGACTTGTTCAAGCGTGAATCTTCCAGGCGAGAAAGGGATGGAGCTATAAAAGGGGTATAGCTCCATCCCTCTTTATTTAGGTGTTTAATAACATCCGTGTGAAGCTGGGGCGGGTCGATAGTTTATTATAAGTCTAAGTAAGTATATGCATACTTAAACATATCAATGACGAGACAAAACAACCCACACCCCAAAAACAGCCCAAAGGCAATATCTACAAAGTTTGTATTACGACAGCACTTTCACTGCGCCCTAGGACAGCATTACCTTATAAAAAACTAGCAATAATAATAAATAATAACACATTTAGCTATAATAATGTCAGATAAATTTAATAATACTTGTCAAGTAGTAGTAAAAGTCTTAATGATGGCCAGACTTAGTTACGCAATGTCGATGAACGTGATTTGCATATAGATGGGTTTGGTCAATCTGTTGGCGGTTGGCGGGAAATCGCGAGTATCTGTCATTGTAACTGTCATCTTTCAAAATTTGAATTGTTCTCTATAAAAATAAAAATAGCTCTGTCAAATGAGTACTTACCATAGAGTCTTTACATTTTTTATTCATGACGTAGTATATTTTTTTTTTAGTAAAAGTGTTTGTATTTGGAAGAACCTATAGGTACAAATAATAATATGAAGCTTTAGGTTTTGTTTGTTTATTTAAAAGCGCTAATCTTGAGAACTACTGGTTCGAATTTAAATAATTGTTTTTGTGTTTATTGGTCCATTTATCTAGGAAGGTTATAAGCTATAAAACATCACTCTACGATCTTTAGGAGCCCACGAGAGAGTAGCTAGTTTGTTATTTGAATTACTTGCTCGTTACTGTATTGAGACATCATTGAATGTTTCTAACACGGATTTGTTCTCATATAGACCCATTTTTGAAATGGCAATACCAAGCGACCACTTTAAAACTTCACACCAACATATATTTAAGACGTGTTTTCCACATTGGCTACAGCTAAGGTACATAAAATAAACTTAACACATACAAAAATTACATAAACTGAAATTGCGCAAATATTTTTTTTTACTTCTGTGTACCTATTTATAACCTTGACATTATTACAGGCTATTAAACAAAGCTGGCTAGTTTGAATGTCACTTTGTTTTCATACGATTTTTATTGCAAACATTTAGTATTACGTAGGCACATTACTTTTATTATATTTGCACGTTGCATATAATTGATAGCAGCTCCTAAACCAGCCAAGGTGATGATGAATGGGTCTAGTATTTGTTTTGATGGGAGAACATAATAGTTTTGATTGGTGTTTAATATTCATACTATGTTTTTTTAGCGGTGATGTAAATATTAACGAACCTACATGTTATATTACATCAACAAAATTAATGATATCTACAGTTTTGCCCCCGAAAACCAAAAATTAGCTATCCTCAATTTGCTGCGTTACATTCGCGTATCGCGCTTTGCTACTCATGAATATGAGCCCCTAGTGTTGTTTGAAACTACTCGAGTAACGCCGAACGTTACATGTAAAGTATAGGGTAAAATTAACTATTAAAAAAATACTATTAATTTTTTTATTGAATTTTATTAACGTGTATTGTTATCCGTAATATTTAAGTTCCTTATACAATTAACTGGCTTCCGCCCGCGGCTTCACCCTCGTACTTAGTATGTTGATAAAAACGGCCTATGTGTTAATTCAGGGTATCACTTATCTACGAATTTCAAATACTATCTCTATCTGTAAATTAATATCAGTCTTCCACTATCGATAAAAGTCGATAAACAGTCGCACAACGTATAAAATAAAACGTTTCAAAAATCACCGCTGTCACTGGCACCACACCTCATTCAATGATGAGTTGACAAACAGGAAACCAGTGCGGTAACTCGGTCCAATTAATCAAGTGTCCAGTTTTTTATATTATTTTATTGCTCGCTTTATAATATGGAACTAATTAAAAATCCCCATCAAGAACTCGATATAGATAGATAGGTACCATTACGTATACGATAAATATTTTAATAGGACACTTTTAAAATGCATAGCTGGTTAGTTATCAGTAATTCATTAACATAGTCGTGTACTGGAGATAAAAAGTACATACTTATATACATACATTTGCAGTCTATCTAGAAGGAAAGAAAGACAATACATACGTATGTATATAACACACTAGCTTCGATAGCTAGGTATGTTGATAAAAAATAGCCTATTCCGGAGTGTATCGAATGCCTGTGCCAAATTTCATCCAGATCCGTTCAGCTGTTTTCGCGTGATTGAGTACCTAACGAATATCCAAACATCGCAACTCGCGCATTTATAATAAGACGGGAAATATGCGCCAAAAGCACGTGAAACGGCCCTCGCTCGGCATAATGCTGAGACCCTATACGGGACAAAGCCTCAGCGCTGGTTTTCAGCGAAAGCCAAATTCATCTAGATAGATTAATTTCTTTAAATATCTGGTAAATCTATTCCATATTCAAGTGTAAAAAAGTTACTACATATTCACATTTCATATTGCCTAAAATATGTTAAATGATATCTAATAAATGAAATAAAGTAAATATTGTAGAAATACGATAACTTCAAAACCACTTGACCGATTTTGAAGAATACCTAGGTATTACAATTTTAGAGATCGCACCTACAGACGGGTCGATATTAGCTAAATATTTTCTGCAAGGTTTACTTTTATATTAAGACATCATTGAAGTAGGAAATGGATTAATTAAATTAATTGATTATAAGCATTTTTCAAAAACACGATTTTGTCATGTCAACAAAAAATAGTGTTGAGCAAAAGAAATCGTAACAGAATGCTATAAAATGCATGTTTTATTTATTATTGATGTTCCGATGACCGGAATTTGTCGACATTTTAGAATTTGCATATCTACCTACTCTACTGATGTAACCGTGACAAGGACGTTGTCGATAGAAATGTTTAATTTTATTGAGTTTTGGCAAATAAAATACATAAATAGTATGTAAAATGGCGTTTTCCTTGCCTGTTGGTATAAGTATTATATTTTTTTGACTACACGGTTTGTGCGGTGGCTGGGCAACTGGCTGCCGTGCAACGTGACGCGAGTTCGATTCCCGCACGGAACAACTCTTTGTGTGATCCACAAATTGTTGTTCCGGGTCTGGGTGTCATGTGTATGTAAAATTGTATGTTTGTAACCGCACCCACGACACAGGAGAAAATCCTAATATGGGGCAACGTTACTATAAAAAAAAAGGGTAAGCAGCATCTTATTGACAAGTTTAACAACTAAACTTGAAGTTCCTATTTCATCATTAAGTACTTACCTACTTCTTCTTCTTTCTGTCAGTGAATAAGAAATGAAATTATTAGGGAGATTTAATATGTAGGTATGTGATTTCAAGCTTAAATATTGTATCATTATGAACATAACATCTAACCCATTACTATAGAGCTTCCCAATCCCTATAAAGGTACAAAAGCCTTTTTACACTTACACATGAACAAAAAATAAAAGTTGTCATTTTTTTCGAAAACAAAGATGGCGATTGGCGGCAAAAAGAAAATACTTACGAACTTACCACAGACTAAAAGAAGGACACTAAAAACAGGTTACAAGCTATCATCGTGCCATAACACTTAGAGGATGAGTAATAAAACGAATAAGCCTTTAGAAGTGTAAAATTCTAGATAATCGTTGTTATTATATGAAAAAAGTAAACGCAAGATAAAAGGTTGGACACAAAAAATGAATGGGCAGTAGTCGTAAGTATTAAGTACCTAATTGGAGGCGCTGTGGTTACATGGAGACGCTACGGTGCGAAATTATAAAATTGTTTTTATTTTTTTTATAAGATTTATGTGGTTGGTGTTTGAAAACAAAATATTTTTTGAGGTTCTTTCCAGTATCTATTTTTTTATTATTTAGACTGATATTCAAAAAGTTATACCGTATTTAACTTTTTTTTATTATTATCGTAAGAAATACTAAGTAAATTTATTCAAAATAATAATTTACTCACTTGAATTAACTAAGAAAAGCTTTCCTAGTTTCAAATCACAACGGGACTTTTATTCTTGAGTAGCGTGCCCGATATCAGTTCCATGTAAAAGAAAGTATTAAGCACTTTATTTTTTTTATATTTTCTAACTCGATAATTTACAGATTTATGTCACACACTCATTATAATTTATAGGAAAATAATTTCTAATTTTCTATCTTAATTAAGCTCTTGCAAAATATAATTAAGACAAAATATCGTTCAATTAAATTACCTACTGCTCACCAATTAAACATAAAAGAGATTTGATAAAAAATCAGTTTCCGCCATTGTTTCATTTTCCCGCGCTCCGCCATATTGTAAACATAGACTAATAGAGAGGAATGCGCGCGCTAATCTACGTTCCTTTGTGAGGTATGCGAACTTTTTCTAGATTTCTGTGTAGGTACTTCGATGTTGTTACTATTACTAAATATTTTCATTTTATTGTACATTGTTGGTTTTTAAAGAATAGCTGTATATCTTTAGTCATCACAGTACTTCTTTTGGTTTAATTATACTTTTACCGCATTGTAGGTAAAAGTTAAGTATTTGGAAATTGGAACATAAAAAAATATACAAGTGAAACAACTGTAAACTGTTCGTAGGCTATAATTTGCTTCCAATACTAGTAATATTAAGAGCTAACGTGTCATTACCTTCACTTGTTCACAAGAACATGTTCCAGCTTTCTTTCTAAGTCTTTTAGATAATGGATTGAACTTGAATGCAATATTTATATCAAGTCTACGATTAAAATTACTGTTATAAAATTTTGTATCTGTGAGGTGTGTGCCGTGAGGCAAAAAGATGGTCTCTCTCATGGATTAGGATGGGTAGGTAGGTACTGAAGCTCCTGGTCTTTATTGAAAGAAAGAAGTATTTTTTATATTACTTAAGGGATTGAAGGGATTGTATTGTAATTTTGAGACACCATAAACCTATTTTTATTTTTTACTTATTTATTTAAAGGCGTTTTTTGCTAATGGAGTTCCAAGTCCATTCCGATGACATTTTTATCTATGTTTTATGTATTTTCTGTTGCTAAAACTTCCCTTTATTGTCGACAGCAGTAAAGAATGCGTGATGCCTATGATCCCGTTGGGGCTCAAGGAAACGAAGGAGGTGGACTTCAGGGAGCCGTTCAAGGACTTCATTCTGGAGCACTACAGTGAGGACGCGGCAGCTTATGAAGATGCTATCTCCGACTTCATGGATATGAGACAGGTGAGTGACTTATTTATTTAAGGAAGGAAGTGGTTAGTGGCAAGTCTGGCGTGGGCAGTTGCAATTTAAGATGGATAATATTAGACTATTAGGCAGGTTGGATTACTAGCTGAGCTGCAGAATCTTATAGGGATAGGGGGACTTAAGCAAAACAATACGAGATATTTGGCCAGGGCGATGGCGATTTCCCAATAGACAGACTGAATAAATAACTGGCTACCAACATATTTTTATTTTTTTATTAAGAAATTCTAAAAATTTCTTTAAGAACAGAAATTTTGTGCCCTTTTGAAAAACCTAAAAATTAACATAGCTACTTTACCCTTAATTCGCATAGCATTTCTTCTCTTCTCTCTTATTTTATCAACATTTTACCAAAATCGTTTACAAATTCGAAAAAAACATGGCCCCGAAAATTGCATTGTCTAGGAGCGCTTTAATGACTTAATCCGGCCCTGTACTACATCTGAGAAAAACTTGTCATTTTGGCTTCTTGAACTCGGGTGATGATCAGCAATAATAAAAAAATATTATGCTCTATTTAAATTTAATTAATCAAACTGTTTGTGTTGTCCCTAGGCGATGCGCACCCCAGTCAGGTCGAGTGCGGGCGTCGCTCTGCTATTCAAGTACTACAACCAGCTGTATTTCATTGAGCGACGGTTCTTCCCGCCAGACCGCTCGCTTGGCGTCTACTTTGAGTGGTTCGATTCGTTAACAGGTATTTTTTATGTATTTAAAGTTTCTTACTCTTGGTTACAACGCCATCTAGTCAGAATTAAAGAAAATATTTGATTGATTCGTACTGTCACTAGATGGCGCTGTAGAGTTTTTTGTCAACAATATATTTTGACTTTAAACTTCCTTTAGCTTTTTTATAGATTTTTTTTTACCAAATAATGCAAAAAATATATGATGTCAAACCACCACATACGTATTTGACAATAAGAAAAAAGTTTGACTTTTAAAGGTTGGAAATTGGAAAGTACTCAACTCGGTTTATAGAATTCAGAGATAGATGACGTTAAACGCCTTTAAGTTGAGTACCTACTTTTCAACTAATAAAATTTCTGTTTTAGGATAGATTTTTTTCAAGTGCTAAATGGTGAATATTTATACTGTGTTTTATTTTACAGGAGTCCCGTCATGCCAGCGAACAGTGGCTTTCGAGAAAGCTTGTGTCTTGTTCAACATAGCTGGCATCTATACTCAATTAGGAGCTAAACAGGTAAGAAAACAATAAACATTTTAAGGTGCGCGACTCTTGAAATACTGTTTTGTTGTTTGAGTCATTTTAAATAAGACCAAGTACATTTTGGTTTTATTTTTATATAATTTTGCCTTTTGAATAATGAAACGGCTTTTTGAAATTGGTCAAGAATACGATATTGACATTTATTTACATAATTATTTATTTGTTTGAATTTTGACATACTATTATGTAATTCGCAGGACCGCTCAACGTGTTCAGGCCTGGACGGCGGTGTGGAGGCGTGGCTCCGCGCGGCGGGAGCGCTGCGCTACGTGCTGGACAACTTCACCAACGCGCCCTCCGTCGACCTCGCCGCCGATACGTTGCTCGTACTCGCCGCGCTTATGACTGTACGAACACTTTTGTTTACTCAAAAAAAATGTTACAAGCATCATTGCAACTTGATCAGCGTGCTGCCACATTCAGACCCTTTCAGATGTTGACGTAGGTATGTGTGTACAGGCGCAGGCCCGCGAGTGCCTGTTCGAGAAGCTGCAGCTGCAGGCGCGCGAGGCGTGCGCCGACCTGCGCCGCGCGCCCGACCTCTGCCTCGACCTCGCACGGGAGAGCGCACATCTCGCGCACACATACGGACAGCTCTACGATAAGGTAACTACACCTGGACATGAGCTCTCGTCAGCCGATATAGGAGACAATATGCAATACGTTTTCTCTCGCTTAGTGTTCACACGGAATAAACAAAAAACAATACAAAATTTATAGTATACTATAAATGTTGATATATATTTGTCAACAGATGCAATCAGAGGGTGTGTTCAACTACGTGCCATACTCGTGGGTCTCTTTAGTCCACGTTAAGACTGAGTTTTATAAAGGTATGTACATCTTGACCAATATTGAAGATAAGGTACAGCTTAAACAAAGCTAGGCGCCGTGGAATTGGTCATAAACAAAACTTTAAAATACTTATTTGTCTCCAGCGTTGGCGCACCAGTACTGTGCGACAGGCCTACTGAACATGCCAGCATCCTCTCGCTCTCCAAGCCGACTTGCATCACTTTACGATGCTGATACACACCTCGATAATGGTGAGTTTCACAAATGTCATGAAAACTGTAATAGTTACATTATATTTAATAAATATAAAATTCCTGACTGACTTCAATGCTTAGTGTAAACAACTTTGATTGCAAATTTATTTTTCCTTAGGAAATAAAATGATTTGTCCTAAATTAAAATGAATAAGATAAAATAACTTTTTTGTGATATTTTTCATTACTTCAGGCTCTTCTATATCTCCGACGCTGAAGGACGCTGATGTAGATTGGATCGCATTAGGGCGCGCACATCTTGCAGAAGCACTCACTTTGTACGAAGAAGCGCTCAGGCTACAAAGGATGTGTCGGTAAGTTATATATATTTGACATCTGAAATTTCGCGAAATTAGTATAGCAAATATAATAAAACCTAGGCAGATACATTAAATAAATAAATAAGTAGTTACACCGTTAACTACGAAATAAGAAAAAAAAGCTATTTACAAGGTCATTTTTGTGCTTGTAGTGTATGTATCTTATTATATTATAATACATAATAATATGTGGCTTCTTCCAGTGAGTTACGCGGTAAGGAAGCAATCTCCCTGGTAGTACGGGCACAGCTAGAACGCGCGGCGCGGGAGCGAGCTGGAGACACGCATAACGACAATGATGCCAATGACTTCACAGACCTCATTGACGCGCCCAACGTACAACGTAAGTACATAGCTTTAAAGTTTAGTAGTTCAACGATCTTCTTAACGAATAGCCTTGTCAAATATAAAATAGTTACAGCCTTATAATGGTCTATTTTTTCTACAGCCTCGTCGAAATTCCAACTGGCCCTAACGCAACCAGACTTCGCTCAGCACAGAGTAGAAGATCTATTCAAGTCTTTGGGTCCAATAGCCATATTCTCCGCCAAACGTCACTGGAGTGCCCCACGCCTCGTCCAACTGCAAAAATATAGAGATGGCTCCCGACGCATTGAAAGACCGAGAAATGGAAACGTAGAAGACTATGAAGAAACAAGAAACGGCAAACACAGGAGCGAGAAACGAGATAGATCAGAAGATAACAGTACTTATTACAACCAAATAATTAGAAGTGACGAGAAATATTCCAACGAATATGAAAAGAAGAAACTGCATAGGGTAACAAAGCAGAATGGAGTATACATAAATAGTTACAACAATAATAACTATGAATATCATCCAAAAGTCTTGGACTATGACACGCAGAACGAGTATAAGACTAAAGACGGAAAGCTTGAAAATGGAGTGAAAGAATGTAATGGTAAAGTGAAGAATGGAAGGCGAAAGGATCCTCTTAGAAGGGCAGCGAGTGAATTTAACGTGTCGAATGCGAAAAACGAAGATGAAGGCTTTGGGTTTTCTGTGAGAGGAGACGCGCCTGTTGTTATTGCAGGAGTTGAGCCCAACTCTTTGGCTGAAGTAAGGATCATTTTACAAATATTATCTTTTAGTTAAAATTTTAATACTGATTAAAGTTTAAATACGACCACAGTCGCTTTTCCAAGAGATAAACGATAGAGAATAACAAGAATCCTTCTTCTTTGAAGCTACACAATGCTTATTTAGAAAAAGTAAGTAAAATATAATTACCTTTATTATTTCCAGATCGGTGGTATGCGTGAAGGAGACTTTATAATATCTATTGGCGATACTGATGTGAAATGGAGTTCTCATGATGAAGTGGTCAGACTGATCCAGGAAGCAGGAGACACACTCACTATGAAACTAGCTACACCAATGGATAAGAGCTCCCTTAAGGTACGTAATAATCACTCATTTCTTTTGAATACTCAAAAATTGACATAGGTTTTTGATGATGGAAGATAATTAATATTATGAAATGTAGATGTTGTTGTTATATATGTATTATATTCACAGTAACGTTATGCTAAAAGCTTTTTTCTTAATGTCCAGGCGTCACCAGAAACTCCACGGCAGTCCAACTCGAACCAAGGCTCGGTGTCTGCAGCGTCAACAGCGTCCAGCGGCTCGACAGCAGTGACGGCGAGATCCTCAGCGCGCCGCGCGCCATCTTGGAACCCGTTCCGACGTCATACCACCAGGGAAAACAGCTCTCATCGTGGCTCTCACACCAGCAATATTATCTTCAGATAAAAGATATGATTTCGCTGAAAACGCAACCCTTTTTGTTAAAACCGCCATCTATGAACGTTTTCTTGTATTATTGTTTGTAATGTCGTCTATTCCTAACGCCATCTTTTGGTAGTTTTGCAAAAAAATTAAATCTAAAATCGTCAAGCTAAATATTTGTACTTAAAACAGTATCAAAGAAATTACTTCTGATTTAAGCAATGCTGGTCAAAAAATCGATTTAAAATGTGTAATTTTTAAAAAATGTAGAGTATCAAGTCACAAAATATCAAAGGTTTATCTTTAATGTCAATCAGTAACGCCATCTATATTTATTAAGTCGAAAACGATTTTATTAATAAGTAAAATAAGTTTAAAATACCAACGCCATCTGTTATCAACTCTCTGTACTTACTTAGCATGTTTGAGGAGATTTAGTTAAGTTTTGGGCGAGGCAACATTTGCTACTATTATATTTAGGTTCCTAAATATATAGTTAGGTATGGGAACTTTATATCGGCTATGAAACTCCAAAGTTAATAATTTTGTATAAGTTACAACTTGGTAAATGAAAAATATCTGTTCTATTTATGGATTAATAAAGTTTATTAAGGTTTTTTTTAAAAAAATCTATGTTTCTAGTATAGATTTATTGTCTTCTGGCAATTCTTTATACTTTTTACCTATCCTTGATTTTATTTCCAACTTTTTTCTTGCTTCCTTGGAAGTAATCGTATGTTTTTTTTATATTTTCATTATTTACTATTTAAACTTAATATTGATTGACGCCTTAAACCGTTCTCCGAACTCGAATGTCTATGTTATATTGTAAAAATATATATTTCATACTTACATACTATTAGAATATACCTACCCATTCCCTAAATAACTGTCACATCTTTATATTGAAAAAAGACGTGCGCAGTTGTATAAAAACGTCGACATTTTGAACAAAACCGACTTCTTTTCTCCTTCCAAAATCGAATATTTTAAACTAGGTACTCAAACTAATGTTGATAAGTCTTCAATTTGAAATTGAAAAGTGATCAACTACGGAATTTTGTCGACAGTCAGACCGGTTGTATATTCAGGGTGTTACTAGCTGGCCGGGCCCCCAACGAACACAGGGCCCCAACAGACTTGAATTCGAACTCAAGTCGAAGTAAATAACGAAAAAACTACATTTCTAGTACATGCACTTGACATGGGCCCGTAACTTTGCCACCCGGGCCCCTTCAACCAAGTCCGTCTCTGTCGACAGTACCTACTGCCTACTGTTTACTTAAAAAAACCGGCGGCTGATTGTAAAACCATAATTTAATTAAAATATTATATTATGTATATTGAATAATGAGTAAATATGCGTCACAATTTAATTAAGCTATACGTGTAATTACAGTATTTTAGTTTATACATACAACATAAAATATAAAATAAAAGTCTTATTAATATAAATATTAACTGTATTAATTTTGGATGTGATCGATTTAAAAGTATTTAAAATGATTCCCTTACTAACATTGATCGCGTCCAGAAAATAAAATTTTAGATTGAATGTAACAATTTAAAATTTTTATTTGATTTCCCTTTAGGTACTTTGTATATTATAGATGTAAAAGTGTATATCATTTGTATAATACTTTTTTAAGGTAAAATGTATAAAATTGTTGTGGTTACTTTTGAACAATAAAGGTTTATTTAAAGGCAATCTTGTTTTTTTTTTAATATCAGTGGGCCCCGGGAGCTGTGCAAAAAGTGTAATGTACTCTGGGACTGATTTCATCCAAGATTTACTTTTTGGACATTATTGCAATATATGTATTATCTCAGAATGGCTTAAAATAACAAAGCGTTCATAACCACAATATTTGCAAGAGAAAGGAATAAACTTGGAATGTAACTTTATAAGTGGGCCCCCTTATAAAATATTCCAACTTTCAAGGTGGAACTTTCTAAGTCTAGGTTGTGACAGACACAAGCCACATACGTATCCCATGTAGAGAATTCGATAGTAAGTCGAAGGCGTCAGTTTAACACGTTTGGAATAGATCTTTTTGAATATATCTACCATACCTAATGTAGACAGAAGAGAAGGGCGAAAGAGGAGGGGGGGGGGGTGAAAAATATAAAAAATCACTATCTAACCAGATAAGTCAGTTTCTGAAAATTAGATAAGTGTAAGTAAAAATCTGCAGATTTTATCGGGTTTACTCAGTAGGAGGGTTTTGGAGATGTCTCGTTTCTACCTTCATGTGGTTATCAACTCCACCATGAAAATCGGAACATAAAAATCCTTTCAGTATCAGAGAAATATATGATATGAAGAGTACCTATACCTACACTATCACTAAAACAAAAAGTACGCCATGGAAAACTATTGATTCCCCATTCCCCCACCAGATAAGGTAAATAGATATCGTTAAAACATTTCTTTCTCTTCAAAACCTTCAAAATCCAGTAGATCTCAACACGCTTCAGTAAATCAAATAGGGCATCCTATATCTATGCGTCAAAGTAACAAACTGTGGCCACTCCATTTCATGTTTAAGGAATGGCGATAAACCAGCAACTCGCATCATCAACTTATAGGTAAGTGCCCACTGCGGAGCAAAGGCCTCATCGGAATGGTGATTTCTTCGGAAGGCGGTTTGGTGATTTCAAACTTATAATTAGGAATTATGATGTGTCCTTTCATCTATGATGTCTAACTAAATACAGGATGTAAAAAGACACTTAACGAAGCCGTTAACTACGCATACTGCAGTTCTAACTAAGTAGCTTTACGCTAAAATTATCTCTGGAAAACGACTTTTATTTTTAGGTATCAAAAAAATAATTTTATTGCGCGCAATGTAAAGCAAACGGGCTTCGTGTCATTGTGTGCGTAGGTTCACAGCTTAACATTAAAACGCTGTGATAAGTACGTAGGTCGCCGTTTTACTTCGCAACAACCAAACAATTCTGTAAAATAAAAATCCTACTGAGATGCACGATGTTTTTTGTGCAGGTCTGCATTTATTTATTACGTACATTACTGTTCGTAACTTCCAATGCTTAATTTATTTAGAAAAATCGAAAATTCAGGTAATGTTTGTTTGGATAAAAGTTTTGTAATAATACTTAGAATTCGATTGCGCAAAAAAAATGCATCTTTGACCTTCAATATCTCGAGAACCCGTGGAGTCCGTGGAGAAAAGAATGATCCAAATAATGGGTAGAATACGTGGGTTTCGGCTTCGTTAAGTGTCTTTTTTACACCCTGTATATTAGTATTGTGTGTACCTATTATATGTTTAATGTGACTGTGGGGCGAAAAAAAACATAAATTCATAAAATTTTAATTACAACATTTTATTTAAAAACATCACAGAACTAACGCTATTTACATAACAAATTCAACAACAATAAATATACATAATGTATATAAAATACACATAACTATCTACTTATCGATTATACAACCCTACACCAGGAAACTGAGGTATAATAATGAATTAGGAACCCATTTTGGAAGCCAAACAAAAAAAAAGGCATGATGAACAATATTAAACATAGGTAGTAGGTACCTACTTATTGGTGAAAAAATATTTCTTTGGTCTCAAGTTTTTTTTACCTTAAATACTTTAAGTTACGAAAGAAATTACTTACGTATGTCGTATCAGAAAATCATAATGTGGCCATTAAAATATGTTAAAAAAATATTAAAAAATTCGCTGAAGATTGCATTTTGATAAAAATATAGATATTTTGACTAGTCAGAAACTACCAAACTACTTATTTTCGGAACAAAATCTTTTACGGCAGTTCACATCCCTGTTAGTGAGATTTAACATATTATGCCCTTAAAATATAATTATGTTTTCTAGAGCTCTGTCAACGTCAAATAAATAAACAATTTTCGTTGCAAGTTTATAGGTATAAAATCTACAATGTCAATATATAAATAATGGATAAGCATTTAAAACATTGCACCTTACATCCAAAATTACAACATAAGTATTCAATATAAATACAATTCTCACACATACGACTTAATTCAGAATTATTATTATACAGACAAGTCTTGGAATAAAACTAAAGCACCATATTGTACTGTTGTATGGTCTATACATATATATAGGTAGTTAACTATAGGTAAACAATGTTGGTATGTCTTTTTATATTAAAGACGTCGTATAAAATACATACAAAGATTATTTAAATTCAATTTATTAGCTAACATAGATTTAATTAAATACCTAATTAGAAGATAATTTTTCGACAACTTTTAGATAAAAAGACTTGCCAAGATTGTTCACATTTAGTTAATAACCTTTGAATTCGTAATAAATCGTTTTTTTTCCTACAAATTATTTACGTAAGGACGACCCCAGAATATATCTCTTTACATAATCTCATCATAATTGTTCCATCTGCTTAGGTGTTGAAGACTTACACCCGGTTTCTGAAAGGCTTGTCAACGCTAAAATTAACTAATCTCCTGTTAACTGAATTATTATGTTGTTGACTGAATTATCAACAACCAATCAGATGACTTGACAAGAGATTAAATTGATTTTAACATTGAACGGCCTTTCGGAAACCGGGTGTAAGAAGCTAATTCTTACTAGATTTACCCCAGACTTTAATTTCTTCACATTAGAACCATCTACCAAAGTTTTCCTTGGCCGTATATCAATAGTGTCTAAGAAAATCACAGACAAACACTTGACCTTGATTATTAGCTAATTACAACCAAATGCTATCTTCCATCGAAATATTTTTCGACATACTTCTTCGTGTCTTCGTAAACTCCGAAGAACACAAAACCTCCAATCATGATGGCGGTCATTCTGGGCATGACTCCGGCGAAAAGACCTTTGAATCCTGACTCTATGTAGATGGCTGTTAGGACAGGCTTGATCTTCATTTTGCCGGAGACTCTGTAACTGTCTGATAGCATGATGCGGGTTTTGGCGAGGTCTAGAGGCGTTGTTAGGACCGCTGCGAAACCGCCTGCTATTGACCCGCAGATTGCGCTCTGAAAATTAAATATTTATGTAAAACTAACAGCCCGCTCCTAAAAGTCAAAGTCAAAATCATTTATTCCAACTAAACCATAACAGTGCAGCTAGCACTGACGAACAGACTGATAGACTATTGCGGCTGTACATGTAGAGGCCCAATCCTTCCGGATGCCGTGGTATCACTCCGGTCGAGCCGACTCATTCGTGCCGAAGGATGGCTCTTCCACACTTTATCCGTAAGCTAGTTTATCGTCGCATTACATAAAAAAACTCACCTGAAAACTGCTAATCTCGCCGTCATTATATTTCCTGACGGTTGTCTTCAACATTTCCCAGACAGGCAGCTCTATGAAGCTGAAGGGAAGGTCCCGAAGGACGGTGGAACCGAAGCCGCGGTACACGCCCCGGAAGAAACCCTCCGTTTTATACGCCTGGAGAAAAATCAAAGTGGTTGGTTGTATTTCCTTTGGCTGTCCAAATAGGTGTGTATTTAATATAAAAGGAAGACCAGGGATTAAATGAAAGATGGATGGAAGGTCGGCAAACGAGCTGACGGATTACCTGATGGTAAGCAATCAGCGCCGCCTTTAGTCACCCGCAATAAAGGCGGTGTTGACCTGGTGGCCGACCTGGGATTATGGTTTTCGAGAATTAGGAATTGATAGATTAGTTGTCATTGTCACTGTATTTTATGACTAAACAGTCTTAATCAACAAAGTTTTGGCATTCTCTTACTAAATGAACGAATAGGTATTATTTCAACATTAGAAACTTCAAAGAATGCGGTAGTGTGCCTTGGATAAAAGTGCCTTTTCGTGATACAACCAAGCACCCTGTTTATTAGGGGAAAATCATCAAATGACTTCTCTCTCCCAGGATGAGGCGAGGAGCTGTGTTAGCTGTGCTGTTGCAGACTCTTACTGACTAAAATCCCCGTTCCTTCTCCTGCTTTAGGCCGGGGCCGCGGTGCCTTATTGCGCTAGCCCCCCAACTCCGGCTGAACATCGGCCCTGTAAGGCCCTGTCTATAAAACCAAGCAGCCTAAGAGAACCATGAGGAAAACCCTGGCCATTGTACTACTGGAGATACCAGTATGCGTCGAGGCAGTCGGTTTATAAAGCTAACTAGCTTTTGCCCGCGACTCCGTTCGCGTGGAAAAGTGATTTCCTGCTGATTTTTGGTATAAAAATTATCCTATGTCTTTTCTCGAGTTCCAAACTAAGTCTGTACCAGATTTCGCAGAAATCGGTTCAGTATTTTAGGCGTGGCGAAAAGACAGACGGACAGACCGACAGAGTTACTTCCGCATTAATTATAATATTAATAATGAAATAAGTACTCACGTGTAAAAGTATTGAAATACTACTCTTGGAGTTTGTGCCGACGTATGTTTGCTTCCTCTGTTTCGCTATCTCCGTCGGGACTCGGATTAGACACGCCAGCTACAACAAAATAATAAAAACTTAAAAAAAAACTAAACCATAACAACACTATAATGAAATAAACTTCAGCAAGTATTTTTTTCTTTTCTTTTTAACAGGACTTTCTCTAGCATTTTCTCCTGTGTCGTGGGTGCAAGTGTGAACCGGAACAACAATTTGTGGATCACAGAAAGAGTTGTTCCAGTTGTTGGCAGCCAGTTGTCCTGCCACCGCGCCAACCGTGCAGTCAAGTTGCAACAGAGAGGTGATAATTCGGTAAGAGCCGGCGTTTGATCCCTATGTCGCCTGGTGGTAAGCAAAAATGCGGCTATTAGCTACTTAGTTGCATTATTTCGAAGCGTTGATTTTCGTAGAGGGCTTTAGCAGTACAAGTTGTTTTGTCTTAAAAATAATTCTAACAAATGCAGCCTACGAAGGCGCCTTTTTACTACCGTGTTACCGGAAGGGATCTCTGGCAAGGATAAAATTTGTAACGCTTCTAATAAAAAAACTGGAGGAAAATCGCTTTTTGCGTGTGAGTGGGATATCTACCATCAAGCGGTGACGTTTTGCCGATTGTCTGGTGGAACGAAGATGGGAAGGACTAGGCGGAATCAAGATTTTTGTGCCTATTTGTTTCTTTATTTGAAACGCATTAGCAGATTTTGGGACAGGGGAAGGAGGACTGGGGGCGATTCCGTCATCTCGTTAAACAGGAGCCGAGACGGTGGCGCACGCGCGTTGTGTCCGAGTGGAGGCTGCGGATTAATTTGATTCCCGCACCCTCACGCCCACGTGAGACGGCCTATCCCAAAAGGCACCACCTCATGATCCACGGGGAAGTTAGATGTGAATCTCTGCCGTGCCTCGCCTCGAGGCGGGAACACCAAGGTTGATTTTTAGTGATAGTCCCCTTTGTCTCCCCAGGCCAAGAGGCTTCATTAGGATTTTCAATGTTTTGGCAAAAAAAAATGACATATTTAAAAAAGGAAAATACATTCAATAGCAAATAAATGAAAGTGTTTTGTCAACGAAAGTTAATGAACGTTTGAATTCGCATTCCAATGTTAAAAGAAAATCTTCCACTCATATCATTTGTCTCCAATGGTGTAAATTAGATAAACAATGACGGAATAAAATTTAATTATGGTGAAATCCACCTAATTTTGATAACATCAAAGTACAAAGTACAATGTCCAATTTAGTCACGAGACCTAGTAATGGATACAAAATTTCATTATGGTGAAATCCACCTAATTTTGATAACATCTAAGTACAAAGTACAATGTACACACGAGGCCTAATATGGTAATACAAGCTACTCTCGCGCGGTTTCACCCGTTGCGTAGCTCCATTTATCGTAGCGTGATGTTTTATAGCCTATATATAGCACTCAGGAACACTGTAGCTATCTATCAGTAAAAGAATTTTGGCAATCCGACCAGCGGTTTAAAAGATCTGTCTGTCTGTCTGTCTGTGATATGTCGTGGTGGCCCGGAGGTTAAGGAGCCCGCTTCTCGTGCATGAGGGTGTGGGTTCGAAACCTGGCAAGTACCAATGTGACTTTTTCCGAGTTATATATACTTTCTATGATTATTTAGACATCACTGACATACGGTGAAGGAAAACATCGTGAGGAAACCTGAACATATAATTTCTAATTATAAGTTTGAAATCGCCAACCCGCATTGAGCAAACGTGGTGATTAATGCTCTAACCTTCTCCGTTTGAGAAGAGGCCTTTGCTCAGCAGTGGGCACTTATAGGCTGATGATGATGATGATGATGATGATGTTTAAAAGATCACCCCCTACATACAAATTTACAAACATACAAACTTACTTATCTCTTTATAATATTAGTATAAGTATATATATGTATGTACAATGGTTTGACGTGAGCGTTATAATATACCAAGCCGGGTTGTGTGTCTGTGGATACAAGGGCAATGATGTACTGAACTGCTGAAGGGAATTGACCTTTTTCATGATTTAGGTCGACAAACGAGTCGACGGATTACCTGATGGTAAGTAAACAGCGCCACCTATGAACACCCGCAAAACCAAAGGAGCTCCGAGTGCGTTGCCAGCCTTTTAGGGATAAGGGTATCAGATATTTAAGGATTGGGAAGGGATGGAGGAAGGGCCTCTGGTAACCTCACTCACGGCGAAATACAACGCTATGGTTGTTTCACGCCGGTTTTCTGTGAGGCCGTGGTATCCCTCCGGTTTAGCCGACCCATTCGTGCAGAGTTGCCTGTCAAGTGCCGTTATTTATAGAGGAAGACTATATCCAATAGGATCCGAGCTAGGAACCGCATAGCTAAAGCGAAGATACAGATCAAGATCAACTAGGCACAGTTCAAGGCGTTCAAAGTTCAGATATAATTGCTTAAGTAGTAGGTAAGTTAAAACTAAGAATAAGAAATTGCACATTCATCCATTATGCTAATTTGTATTCATATGTACCTACATAATAAAATGTGCTAAACAACTGTACACATAAACGCATGTTCTATATAAAAGATAACCAACGTTCAAAAGAGGATAAAGGAAAAGGAGGAAATTGAACCTTATTATTGAAACATAATTTTGACCATTCAAATGCCTTATTTTTTTATTTAGACCTCTAACTACATCATTATAATTATACTACTAAAACAAAGTCTCTTTATCTGTCCCTATATCCCTATTTATGCTTAAATCTTTAAAACTTCGCAACGGCGTTTGATGCGGTTTTTTCATAGATAGAGTGATTGAAGAGGAAGTTTCGCGCGGTGTCACGCGCTTGCTCAGCTTCATTTGATCGTAGCGCGATGTTTTATAGCCTATAGCACTCAGGAACATGTAACTATCTATCAGTGACAGAATTTTGGCAATTCGACCAGCGGTTCCAAAGATTCCCTATAAACAAACTTACAAATTTTACCTCTTTTATAATATTAGTATAGAAGTAGGTATAGATAATAGCATTCATTAAATAGTAGAGAAATTTACTATTACAGCATTGCACCAGAGCGAAGCCGGGGCGGATCGCTAGTACGACATATTAATATGTATAAGACAATGATCAATCATTGTGGAAAGTATTAGTCAGTATGTCTCGTGACAATGGTGATTTATTTGCAAGTCATCTTAGCACACACGAAAAATAATGGACTTCCTACTTATCTACATCATCAAAATAATCCGCACACATAGTATTAGCATATATTATTTGCAAATCAAGATAATTTCATTGTAAGTATGTATTTTGAGAATGGCCATGGAAGATCGCGCGGTGAAGACTTATTAAACGGTCCCAGCCTGCAGGGACCTAATCTTGCTACAAGGGCCCAAGGGTCCAAGATTTTGGGAGGGAGTTTATAATTTTTTTGAGAGGGGAATTATTATCATGTGGCTTGTGTGGGACGAGAGAGTGTCAGACTCTTACTGACAAAAAGCAAATCCGTTCCTGGCTCAGGCACCGCGACCTCGGCCCAGAGCAGGAGAAGGAAGGGGGGGTTTTAGTCAGTAAGAGTGTGACACTGTCTCTCGCCTTACCCTGGGCGAGAGAAGTCATTTGATGATTTTACCCTGACAAAAAAAAGGCCAAGGCCGCGGTACCATACCTGTATTAAGCGTTATGCGTTGAAATAACTTTAAGAGATCTATAAAACGATTTTAATTTAAAATATTCCCAAATAAAATGAACCTGATAATTCTATAAAAACAGTTATTTAGCTGTGGTACTATGTTTCAATGAACCAGAGTCAACTATGTAGCTCTTAAAATCTGCAAGCTGAAGTAGCAATGGGCAGGCTACAGCGCTCGAAGAATGGGAAAATGCGGAAGACGAAGCGTGGGAAGACCTTCTGCTAGGAGAACCGACGACCTCGTCAGAGTCGCAGGAAGCTTATGGATGCGAGTGGTGGCTTGTCGTGCGTCGTGGAGGACTTAGGGGGATGTCTTTGTCCAGCAGTGGACGACTTCCGGCTGATGATAATTACAAATAAACATAATACCTAGTTGAAAACAAAAAAAAATGGAGAAAACCGAAAACAAATTGTAGCGAATTCTCTAAAATATATTGGACTTACCACTTCCCCGACGCTGGCTGCGAACATGTGTACCAAGGGTGTGTACTGCGTGGCCACTAACGGCTGGCAGAGGGTCTTCGTAGCTTCATACGATGCGAAGAACAGCGCTGTTGTCGGCATAGACGTCGCTGCTACTGTCAGCAGACCTGCAATGTATTATGTCAAAGTGAAAATGGTCTCTTTCATCATCATCATGAGCATATAAATGCTGACAAAAGGCCTCTTCTCACGTTAAGAATGTTTTTGACTGCACGGTCGGTGCGGTGGCTGGGCAACTGTCGCGGGTTCGATTCCCGCACGGAACAACTCTTTGTGTGATGCACGAATTGTAGTTCCGGTTCTGGGTATTTGTAAAAAATTTGTATGTTTGTAAACGCACCCCAGACACTGGAGGATTTTTTTTATATTAGTAGTATTACCAATTGCACAGTTATAGTTTTTAAACATTTCAATCTCTCTGCAAATTCTATTCACTATTATTTATGGCAATCATATTTTATATATTAAAATAATTTGCAAGTATTTATTGAGTTAAGTAATCATTAATCAGTTTAATGTTTATGTATAAGAACTTTTGCATTCTAGAATAAACTCTTAAGTTTTTTAATCAACTCTGCACATTTTTTGTCAGCAGCATTATTTAAGAGATGCATATTCATTTTTTCCCATTCATTCTTTTATGTTTGTGTCAAGTACACAACATTAAAAAGATAAATGTGAATTGACTGCATTATAAGTTGCCACGGCTGAGCAAAGGCGGAGAAGGTTTGAGCATGATTATCCGTGCCTGCTCATGGGGGATTGGTGATTTTAAACTTATAATTAGAAATTTTAAGTCCAGTTTTCCTCCTTCATAGTATGTCAATGGTATCTAAATACTTAAACTTAGAAAGTAGTAATAACTTGGTAAAAGTAACACAGTGTCGTGCCCTCATGCATGAAAAGGTGCCTTTAACCTCCGAACCAACACTAATTGAAATTGAATTAATATAAATAAATGTTGAATTAATTTGCGTTTTAACAACCATGCATGAAAAGTTAATACTTTGTGAAATATTCTGTGATTTATCCTTCACTAAATAATACTCCTAATCCCTTTTTTAAATAATGATAGAAACATCTTGCAACACACACAAAATATTGTGTAAGAATTAATATTATATTAACATATCATTATCCGCAATTGTTTCCTTGTGGAAACAAACAATGAGCAATATATCAGACATTTTTTTAAAGAATTATTTTATGGTAATAAAAACTTGTTTAAAATAAACCTCTGTAAACACCACTGAAGCCGCCAGCTTTTTGGAAACCTTGAGCACTCTGCAGCCGAGTCTTAAGAGTATCCAGAGGATATAGGGTCACATCTACAGACACGCCAGCTACAGCCCCCGCCTGTAAAAATTAACTTATTTATTTCACAACCTCCAGTTATAATATTTCAATGATGCAATTTCTCAAAGCCCTCATACATACCAATAACGGTGGGAAATGCGTAGCTTTAAACGATTTCGGTTTATTTTTCCGCTCCATTATAACACTTTAATTTAAAAATAATAACTAATTTAAAGTTATGTAAATTTATCGTGAAATAACCTCAAAATATAAGTTCACGAAAACAAACACAAGTCATTCACAGCAAGTACGTTAATTAATTACTCGGGATATTGTTATCACATATAACAACCATTTTCGTCAAAAATAATAACTTTTGGCATTTTAGTAAAATTAATTATTTTATTTCAAATATTTCCCGGGTTCTACGAAGCACTGACACGCTCGTACTGTCTGATTGTAGGATATGTCATTATTGACATCTGTCTGTTTATTTTGTGAAATGACACTGACAGCTGAAGCTTGCCATAAACGAAAATTGTTGTTGGCGATGCATCGATTTTCGTATTGTAATAAAAAAATAACGATAACGATTAATGATGTAAAAATTCAGTAGTACTGAAATAAATTAGGAGCTAAATAAGATGAAACTACAATGAAACTGTAATCAACATAAAGAAGTGACCATCGATCACACACTTCATAATATATACAACAAATAAACAAAAATCTGTTACCAAGCAACGAATCAAAAGAATTGAAATTCCTTCGTAAATAATCGTTTGCGTTCCTATTTAATTTAATTTTCTATTAATTTTACAATGCCTAAAGTTTACAACAAAGGCCTGCACGAAGGCATACCGTACCATACTGTTCGCTTCGGCGAAGAACCCGGATGCTACCAATTACATAGGTAAATTATTGTCTTTATTTTTGCATCCTATCACTAATTTGGCTAAATACATTTGTAAATCATAAAGGTAGCTTTATGATTTATAAATTATATGCATTTGAATGCTTATTGAAATAAGAAGAGACTGCAGAGGTGGACGTCCGTAACAACACCCAAGTTTAAAGAGTTTGTATTCTGAGGAGTTAAGTTCGCAAAAAGGAGTACTCATTTAGGGATGTAAACTATTGATTATGAAAATTTTAACTCCATTTGATAATCTATCGATATACTTACTTTCGCCTTGTCCATCAAATAACCACTTGCAATCCTGACTTATACCTAACTCCAACCAGGTAAATTAATTATTTTCCCTTTAATCGCATTAATTATGCCATAACAAAGCGCTGATAATAAAAGCTTCTATTTAAGCATGTCTCATCTTACTGTTAATTTCCCCACCACTTATCACAACATTTGCTTTGCATATGATTATCTTATATTATTTTATTCAGACCGTCGCAATGTCGCCTCAAGTTCCCGATCACCAAACGGCCTATTCACAAATGCGAGACTTTGAACAAGGAGATCATTATGATCCCGCAAACGGGAAACTTCAGAAATCTGCTCGTCCCAAAGAAGAAACCCAACTTTTACCCAGCCATCATGCACAAGAACGAATATGACAGGCTAAGGAAGCAAGCCAAGGTTATTGTTTTTTTATACCTCTACACGAAACGTGACCCCATAATACCATAAAGTATATGACTGGAGGTCCAATCCTTGATTTGGAAGGGACGAAGGCATCCCTCCCAAATCCCTAAATCATCGAAATCCGTATACCAAAAGGCCGGCAACACACTTGTGACTTCTTTGGTGTTTTAGTGTTACGGCTGGCCATGGCGACGCCGATCGCTTACCATCAGGTAATCGGTCTGTTCGTTTGTTGACCTATGAAATAAAAATAAAAAACTTGGAACAAAAACATATTACGTGACGTTTAAGAAGTGTAAAAACAATGTGTCTGGAAAATATTCATCCTTTAAATGCATCCCCGCGTAGTTCAACAGCGGTCAAGAAGATAAATCAAATATGTCTCCTTTCCAGATCATTCCTCAAGAAGAACAGTTAGCAGCGATGCACGCTCAAGAGGCAGCCATACAGAAAGCCGCCAAAGAGTCTGAGGCCAGGAAACAGCAGCTGAAGAAGAATCTGAAACCCCAACCAGGAGCTGAAGCTGCCACCGGTACTGCAGACCCTGAGCTTGAAGGCCCAGACCAGGCTGCCCATACTTTGTCAAGAGCCGAGAGTAAGTATGAATAAAAAACGAAATATTCTAAAAGTTAGATATGGAGTCTTGAATACTAACTTAAAATACTTTTACTTACTAATTCCAAAAACCGGTGTATAGGATTTTTTTGACTACGAATAATACCTACTAGTAACGAAGGTTACAAACGAAGGTTATTTGATAGTAATAGATTGAAATTAATATTTTTCCCATACCGGATATGGATCCGATACCGGATATCACAGATATGTTGACGACCCAGGTCTTTCGTAGGACGTAAGGCGTAAGTCATGGGTCATAAAGAACCCCATGCTGTATCATGCTAGTGGGTAAAAGAGCAACAACTTTTTTATTAAGCGTAAAAGTTTATTATTTGTACTACAGTGCTGCGAGCTGACTGTATGCAGGGTCCTCGTCTCTGCAACCGCATCATCCTGGCTTCCAAGTGCCACGCCATCAGAGATGCACAGATCACTGAGAAAGAGCTCATCAAGAAGGAGCTTGACGATGAACAAAAGAGGTAGGAATTTAAATAATTTAAGTAACTGAAAAAGGTTATATAAACTCGCGTAGGTACTTCACTTTACGCAATTTCCCAGGACCTTTATTTATCAATACTTTGTGACTTTCTTAAAAACCTTAAATGACCTTTAATTCTCATCTCCTAGATTGGACGCCATAATGGAGGAAAACCGTCAAAGCGCAGTGAAAAGGGCGCAAGAAGAAGAAGACCGTCGTCATCGACTGCGGCTGCAAAACCTCGCCGCGCTCAAAGAGCAGATCCAAGCACATGAGACTGCTAAGGTGATGTATAACGACCACAGATGAACAAAACCAAAGGCCGACCATATAGGTATTTACCCGCGAAACCAAAGGCCAAATACTTAAGTTAGGTACAAGTACGATACCATCTCCCACTGGGGAAAGAAAAGGCAATGGAACATTAAATTACTCACTGTTTTTTGATGGAATGAATTGTTTTTTAGATAATGGAAGCTGAACGCATAGAAGAGGAGAGTATCAGAGTAAACCAGGCTAACATCGCGATGCAGATAGATGAGGCACAGAAACTGAAGGAGAAACAATACAGGCAGCATAAATTGAAAGAAATGCTCGATCAGGGTAACATACTTATTCGTCAAAGTTTTGTACTAATATTCTGATATTTCATTTTCTTGCTTTATATTTGCCTTATCTTGAACCTAAAGTGATGAATAAGAGCTTGTCTCCACCCCAGCTCTTGTCACAGCTTTTTGTGAGGAAATACGTAGTCCAGCCATATTCTAGTTATTTCCAAAAACCAATTCAAGCAGAGGCTGCGACCTTATTGCGCTTGATCCGCAAACCTAGCTAAACATCGGCTGTGTTGGGCTATCTGTGGTGACCATTGGACTCTTAAACTCACCTTGAGTTTTTAACTAATTATGGATATTGCCTATTTTAAAATCTTGGAAGACGATTTAACTCGATTTTTCAGGCAACGCGGAGCTGCTCTATTACAAACAGCTGCAGAATGAGGAAGAAAGAATAATGGACTTGCGAATTGCGAACTTCTTAAAACAGAAACAAGAGCGTGAATCGAAGAACAAGGCTGAAGCGGAGGCCATTAAAGCGGCCAAACAGAAGGGTATTGACCATATTTCAAAGGCTCAGAAGGTAAGCCTTGGGGGTCTCGACAATGTTAACGATGGAAAGGCTTTTGCAGCCTGAACATGTTGAACAGATTTTAAACCTTATGTTCTTTGGAGTTAAATTAGAAATTATAATAATTATCCTAGATGTATAGCATCTGATCCTGATTTATTCTATTTATACAATTAGGCTGAACAAGAGCTGAAAGAAGAATTGGAGCGCATTCGCAACTTGAAGATACAAGAGGATGTGGAGCGAGAATACCGCCGCAAGGAGAGGGATGCGGCCATCAAGAGGAACAAGGAGATGAAACAGCTGCACGAAGCTAGGATACAACAGGTAGGTATTATCACTGAGGCACAAAGGCCTATCTGTTTGACTATTAACTGCCTACAGTGTTTCTTATGATGTGTTAGATCTGGGTTCGTTTGAGGAATTGGAAAAGTTTTGAAGTTGACGCAAATCTAAAAATTGTTTTACGGCAAACGAGAAGACGGAGTACCCAGTGGAAAGAAAGCGTCACTTACGGAACTATATCTGCACGGCTGATGCGGTGGTTGGGTAACTGTCTCTCTCTGTGTGATCTGTGACTGTGACTCTTTGTGTGATCCACAAATTGTTGTTTCGAATCTGGGTGTAATGTGTATGTGAAATTGTACTGTTGTAAACGCACCCACGATCCAGGAGAAAATACGAGCGTGGCAATGTTTGTTTGAAAAAAAAATAATACCTACCAAACACATTTCGCTCGAAAGCCACGGGGATTAAAGATAATTAAAACATTTATCCGTTCTTAAATATGTTGCTTTTTAATTGCAGATTAACGACATCCACCGTCTCATCGCCCGTGAAATAGCAAAAGACGAGCAGAGCTTCAACAATGCAGCGCGGCAGAATGAAGAGTTCATACAGAAGGAGAAGGAGGTAATGGTCATAATATTAGAGAGCCTAGAGAAGATTTTCACTGATCAACTACGCAGGATGGGTTCTATTACTGTGCATAACTATGTTATGTACTTATAGGTATTGCAAATTCATTGCAGCTTTTATAGTTTTGATGCACTTTCAAACTCAAATCTTCGCGCGACGATCTCCGGTCACCGTAAGACACAGGTCTGGGGTCCAAAATCAGACCTGAGTGTACGGCGCGTTCCACACGCGCCCCAAAGAGCTATGAAAGCACCTCACATGGAGCCCTTTAGGGCCGATAATCGGCAGGAATTGCGGATCCAAGCAGTGTTGTAGCGCGGCCCACTCGCTCAACTCTGGGCCAGACGAGGCATTTGTGGATCTAAGGAAAAAAACTCTTAACTATAAGCAAAGCTTTGATGGCACCAGGCTGAAACGGAGCAGATTTTTTATTTGATTTGAACATCAGTTCTGTTATTAGTCTTTTCTTTTTTTATTCAGGCAGATCACTTTATTTCTTGTCATGTAACCTCATGTTGGCGAAATACATAATGTAAAAATTAAAGTTTGACTTATTTTCTTTTTCAGTTGGATGATAAACGCAAGGCTCAAATTGAACGACATCGTCAAGCCATCATGAAACAGATCAACGACAAGGAACGTGCCAGGTAAACGAACACGAACTTTTCTTAGTCTCATGTAGAAGTGGCTAGTCAAAAATAAACTTTAATTTTACTTTTTAATACAATGAAAGAATGAAATACAATCATACTTTAATTAATTAATTCGATGATAATAATTCAAAAACAAGTGGTTCAAAGTTTAGGGTTATGGTTATGACGAAAATGTTGATAGAAAAGTAATTACATATTGAATTTGACTATTTGGAAACTATAGGATATTTTAAGTGTTTCCTACCAAGAGGGACTTTTGACCTTACTAAAGCTCCACTATCCGTCCATCTGTCACCAGACAGTGTCGTGTCGTTAAAGCCGTATTTTCTCCACCGCGGTGTCTAAATAAATTGAAATAATCAATCTGTCTCGTTCTCAGGGCTGACTTGCGCGAGAAGATCCACAACGAGGGCGTGGCGCTCCGCATGGAACAAGAACAGCAGGAGAAGTACGAGAGAGCCGTCATTAAGGAGAAGGTATGAAACCCAATTGGCCATCATCATCATCATCATCAGCCTAAAAGTGCTACTGCCGACAAAAACCTTCTGACAGAGAAAGTTTGAGCATAGCTCGAAGTCTTTTTGGCAATTTATCAAAATTATAAGTTCAGGTTTCTTAACGATCATCCGGAGGTCAAGCTTAATAAGGTACCGTGGCATTGGTCTAGAGCAGGAGAAGGAACAGGGTGGTGTAATCAGTAACACTCGCTCTCGATTCTCGATTTTCCCGCTAAAAAACTGAAAAAAAAAACACGATGATTTCTTTCACCGATTGTTAGTGTGTAATACCTACTAGTATGCTTAGGAAGTACAGTCAGCTCCAAAAGTCGATGAACAGAATCAACTGTACCAAAACACCTGTTCACAATAAAACTCCATAAGTTATAGTCGCAACTAGGAAACAAAATAGCCTGTACACCAGAAATTTACAAAAGTCGTTACACACGACTATTTCAAAAGTATCTGTGCACTATAGTATTCCTAAAGTCGCTGTACACCTTCAATCCAAATATCGCTGAACATCACTGTATCAAAAGTCACTAAACAGCGGTAAAGACAAAATTAGGTTAACAAAGTATATTTTTAATGTCGCCCCGTGTTAATATACTTTTGACGCTTATGTTGTTCAGCTACTTTTGGGACAGTGTTTTCTAGACCTTAATAATGTATGTTAACACGTTAGTATCTACATATTTTAAAACTTATTTACAAATAAATTATATTTTATTGTCAGTAATCATACTAATCTATAATTTATGAAATAACATAAACATAACTCTAATGATCTACGAAGTGATTTTTATGACGGTACTTGTAATTTACTTTGCGCAAATCTTACAAAACCTACCTTCCTTTAATTTATTATTTTTACCCGACTACGGCAATGCTAAAATTGAAAGAATTCGACATATGACATATCATTAGAAACGTCTTAATTGTCCGCTGGTTATAAGTTATATGATGTATTACAAAATCTAATGTGGCGTCCTCTAGCGGACAAAACAACTAGAGTAAAAAAATAAAGTTAAGATAATTATACCGTGTTTGGTATCATTTTAAAACGCTTTACTTGTACATTTCGAATATATATATATATATATATATATATATATATATATATATATATATATAGATGTATCCATTCGGCAAATGTTGATCAGACGGGTTGTAGCATCAGTTAATTGTTGATCAGTTAGCAATTGTTGATCAAAACAGTTTTTGTTGATCTAATGTATGATTCGGCATACAAATGTGGCTCCACTATGATCAACAATTGCTAACTCTCTAGCGGCACAAATAAGAACTATTCATTGCATTTTTTATACAAATCCGCTCCATCAATTGTTGATCTGATTCAAATGGACCAATCAGAGGTCACCTTTGCCACGATTGGTTGCTTTTGTTATGAACTGTTGCCACTTCGCTTTGCAATCTATACGCGATGATGAAAACAAGAGAGTGCCCGTCCTATGTCCGGTCTGTCGAAAGTGAAAGTGGACCCTATGTCCGGTCGTTTCCAGAAATTTGATATATTTTTAATGGCGTTTAGAAAATCGCTAAGAAACCTAACCTAACCATTAGTTTATGTTATAAATTATACATAACATAAAACCTCAAGTTGTTGATTGTAGTTTGTTTCTTGGAAAGAAGAAAGTGAAAAATGGAGCCAGAAACTGTAAGTAAATAGTATAATTATGATTTAATTTATCGAGTAATAAACATTCACGTCCACAAATGTATTATTTTTGCTGTAAAAGATAAATGCGTGGGGACGCGGTATTTCGCGCCACTTTGTACAAAACTTACTAAGCTTTAATTTATTTGTTTGTAGAACCAAACCAAACCTCTTTCGAAAGAAGAGACGAAAGGACTGCTCTCCTTAATTGAGGGTAGCAAGATTATAAATAATAAAAGAACAAACGCCACAAGCAATAAAATAAAGGTCGAAGAATGGACACGGATTGCCGGTGTTTTCAACGCAAACATTGGTACCTGTCGCCGTTCACCACAACAACTGCGTCTTAAATGAGTGAATGAGAATGAGAATGAGTTGGTGACGGTGCAGAACAATATTAGTACTCCAGTGGTACTAAAGGAAAAAAGGAATTTTAGAGCTAGTGGTAATATCCTACTAATTTGTTAAAAGAAATTTGTATGTGTGGATGTTTGTTATTCTTTCACGCTAAAACTACTGAATGGATTTTGATGCAACTTTATAGTAATATAGGCTTATATGTACATCAGAATAACACATATGCTATATAACATCACGCTATGTCCTACGGGAGCAGAGAAGTGGTGGAAACCGCAGGGGGCAACTAGTACATAATATGTGAAACTTTATGTTTGTTACTCAATAAAACTTTAATAGCTTTTTTTTTGTTTTACAGGTTGTATTAAACGGAAACTTGTGAAGCCAGATAATGGGTCTCAGGCTCGAAATATTGCATTAGCTGAATATTATAGTGTTAAGAAAAAATTGTTAGACAGTAAGTTTGAAAATGTTAAGTTAGAAAATGAAAAATTAAGATTAGAGATAAGGAAGCTGAAGGGAGAGGATTTCTAGAGTAATATTTTTGTATGTAAAACTAGTATTAATTTGTCAATAAGTTTGTAATGTCCTATATTTTATAATAAATCACTAATTAAACAATTTTGAAATGTTAAATATGGAATATTTTATTTCCTGAAATTATCATTGTTTATTCATTTGAAACTAATAGTAAGTATACTTAAGAATAAAGATGGAGTGGTAATAATAAAAATCTAATTAAAGCAATGTACTGATATATGAGGATTGAGGATTGATGGGACAACATCCAAAACATTCAGTTTTGAAAAAGGAGTTCGGCAAGGCTGTATTCTCTCGCCCATTCTGTTTAATATATACGGCGAATACATAATGAGGCACACCTGTGATGACTGGGATGGTGGCATCGCCGTCGGCGGACAAAAAATTTGTAATCTGCGTTACGCAGATGATACCACTCTACTAGCATCAGATGAAGCAGAAATGTTCGCCTTATTGAATAGAATGGAGCGCATCAGCGGAGAACTGGGACTCTCGATAAACAGATCCAAAACGAAGATCATGGTTGTAGATCGCTCAGGCAAGCTTGAGCTCACTGGGACACTTGATCTGGAAGTAGTTGACAGCTTTATATACCTGGGCTCAGGCATTAGCAACAATGGCTCTTGCGAATCAGAGATACGAAGAAGAATTGGGATGGCAAAAGGAGCCATGGCACAGCTTCAAAAAGTATGGAAGGACAAGAACATCTCGTTAAAAACAAAGAGCAATCTTGTGCGCACAGTGGTGTTCTCCATATTTTTGTATGGCGCAGAGACGTGGACCCTGAAGAAAGCCGATCGTGACCGCATTGATGCCTTCGAGATGTGGTGTTGGCGAAAAATGCTAGGGATTCCTTGGACGGCACACCGCACCAATGTATCGATCCTCCAGGAGCTTAAGATCCAGACAAGGCTCTCTTCCATATGCCTCCGCAGGATTCTGGAGTTTTTTGGACACACTGCCAGAAGGGGTAATGATAACTTGGAAAAGTTACTAATCACTGGTAAGGTGGAAGGAAAGAGACCTAGAGGCAGAAGTCCGATACGCTGGACGGATCAGATTCGCACCACTCTCAACACTACAGTCCACGATGCTCTCCACTCGGCGGCAGATAGAAATAGATGGCGGAGAGTAATACGCAGTACACTGCTTCCACGAGGTGGTCACGACCCTCAGCACTGAGGAAACCGACGCGAGGAGGAGGGAAAGCAATGTACAAATTATCTCAAGACAGACAAAAAAAAATGTTTGCAAAATCAATAGGTAATAAGTATTAAAAATAATTTAAAATTAATCCTTGTCTATGTCTGATATCATTATGAATACTGTCCGAATTTTCTGATGTCACAGTAATTTCACTTTCTTCTGGCATTTCTACTACTGGGGGTACTTCTTCAATATTATAATTTCTGCAGATATTGTGAAGAACAGCTGTAGCTATTATAACGGTTTGTATGTTGTGTAATGACAACCGCATGGTCAATGATATGACTGGGAAGCGACGTTTCCAGACTCCAAATGTCCTGAACAAACAAGTACACTTTTTAATGGATTTGGTTAATAAAATAAAAATAAATAAATGGTCTCATGAATTAGTACTTAATCTTATATTGTAGTACCTATAGTGAAAGCTTTAATGGTGATTTTACCTTTCAATTGTGTTTCTAGTTTTTATGTGAGCCTCATTGTATCTTATTTCCTGGCTATTTGATAGATTTAGCAAAGATGTGAGCAAGTAAGGCCTGTTTGGATAGGCACTGTCCCCAAGTAACCAACGATTTCCTAAAATACCATCTTCACACTGGGCTGTAATAATAGTTAAATACATCAGAACACCATATTATTTTTATGATATTAGAATAGACAATAAACCCAATATTACCTCTTAATACTGAATTATTAAAAATAGTAGCATCATGAGCTGAACCAGGCCACCGAGCAACAACATTCAATAACTTAAGGTCTGCATCACAAACGGCTTGGACATTTATAGAAAAGTATCCTTTCCTATTTCTAAATTCCTCTCCTATTGTTGAACCTGAAATACAACATACTCATTTCATTTATGTTGCAAATGTATGAGAACTTTCTAAATAATTAAAAACCTACTTAAGCAAATTGCCAATTCTTAATTAATAACAAATCTAGAGTTGGATACTTACATGGAGACTGAATGTGTACATGTGTACAGTCAATAGCACCACTTAATCTTGGGAATTGAGCTATATTATAAAATTTATCTGTAGTTCTAGAATGTAAACAAATGTATTTGATATACAATCTAGCGATAGCAGCAGATATGTCTGCCACTATCCTACAAGCTGACGATAAGGACACTCCAGCAAAGTCGGCCACTGAATTAAGCATTGTCCCCAATGCATAAAATCGAAGTGCCAATAAAAGTTGATGCAATGGTGGTATACCATTATTTCTGAAAATGATAAATAAGTACTATAGTTAGTTAGGTATCCGTTTCTAATTTAGGTTATGTTTATATATTGAAGTAATGTTAGCAAACAACTTACCGTCTTGATTTCACTTTGATATAGGGCATTATTTCATTTAAAACAGATTCAACTGAAGATTTATTCATTCTGAATCTGAATGTGAACTCTGCGTCAGTTAAACTTGCCATGAAGTTAATTCGTCGAAAAGTTTTTGAGGACACGGCACTCTCTTGTTCGCTGTCAGTACTATCCCAATCCGATAGCTGAGCTAATACTTCAAGATCACTATCACTATCACTTGAAAATAATTCCATTTTCACGTCTTATAACAAGTTTACGCATGCAATCGGTCAAAAGTTGAGGATTGAAAATTACGATCAATAATGTTCAAAAATCGATTTTGTCAAAATTAGAGTTTGGATATAGAATACGCAAAACTGTCACTTTCATACAAATATTAAACTAAAAATCCAATCCGCCCTCCCAAAGATGGATTGAAAAAAAAGATCAGGATTGCGATTCATTGATCGGTTATTGAAATACTAAAAGTAGGAAATGGATTCAAATATCAATCTCGATCCGCAAATTAGGGATTGGGATTGAATATAGAAAGCGGCCGTATCTCATCTAGCGTCTATCTTTTGTTTCGTTTGCGATGTTGCCGCTTCGCAGCATCGGTGTACTTTCCGCGGCATTTGTTGATCTCCCAACGTTTATATTGATCAACAATGTCACACAAAGTGTAAAATAAATGGCGGTTTCAAAATCAACAATTGCCGTGTGAGTTGGTGACGAGCTAGAGTGTTCGCGGCGTAGTTAGGCACTGGGTTGCTATGAGGGGAATACTTATATTCGTAGTTTGGCACGATATTATCAAAATTATCTAAGCTACAAGCTTCTAAAGGTGGATCAACATTTAATGCATATTTCGACCTGATCAACATTTGCCGTAGAGCGGACAATATATATATATATATATATATATTACTAGCTTATTCATGTGCTGATTGCATATAATTCACATCTTTTCGTTCATACCTTTTACTTCTTAATATTAGTTCATTCTTTTGTTGATATTATGCGACACAAATACACTTTAACACCAAAATAGTACAAATAATAAAAAGTATAAAAACTAAAACCCAACTACGACAAACACCGACGCTGAAAAACGCTGTTTTCTTTCTTATCTTGTTCGGAGGAAACGTTCGGGTGTCACCTAGCACAGATCGCCCGGAGGACACGGTAGAATATATGGTGGAAGTGTGCCCCGCTTGGGCAGGAAGACAGTATTTCAATAAAATAACTGTTGCTATAATCACTCTTCTTACAACTCTTGATATTACAATCACAACAATTACAATTTAACTAAGGATATTTAAGATTAGGTTGAATTTGAACTTAACGTCCACCGAACACTTGGCCGCGTGCGTATTCTACGAAGGTCCAACACTAATTGTCCTGCTTTTTAACCGACTTCAAAAAAAGGAGGAGGTTCTCAATTCGATTGTATTTTTTTTTTTTTTTTTTTTTTTTTTATTTTTTTTTTTTATGTTTGTTACCTCAGAACTCCGTCGTTTATGGACGGATTTGCAAAATTTTTTTTATGATTGAAAGGATATGCTTCCAGATTGGTCCCATTCTTTTCAAAATTGAGTTTTGATGATGGGATCCATGAGAAATCGAGGGAACTCCTCAAATATTATAGGCAACTATATAGTAATTTTAATATTTTCATAGAGCACTCAAGCATTTACAGTCAAAAAGTAATATTTGATGGGGTGGAACTGGTGAAGAAGATCAGAAATGGGTGATGAAACTTGACACTCGCATAGATATCACAATCAAGGTAGTTCAGCAACTATGAAAATGCACTGTAAACCAATGATCTTAAATAATTATGTTGGAAATGTTATCATCGAACTGATTTAATGATGATTATGGAGCTGGAAGGTAGGCACTGGAACTGCGTACCTAATTAATATATCCTAGCCGTGTTTGGGCTTGTTAGAATTGTTATAAGATGCACTTTGGCTGTAAGGTACTATTGAACTGATGTGATGATGAAGCTGGAAGGTTGGCATGGGGCCTAGTATTGTGTAAGCTTATTAGAGCTGTCAAGAGCAATGGAAAGGGCTATGCTCATAGTTTCCGTGCATGTTCGAATCAGAAATGAAGAAATCCGCAGAAGAACCAGCGTCACCGACATAGCCCGAAGAAATGCCAAACTTAAGTGACAGTGGGCACGGCACATTGCTCGTAGAACAGATGGCCGATGGGGCCGAAAGGTTCTAGAGCGGGACCGCACACCTTTGGGGGCGGAGTTTGGCCTAGTATTTGCATTAGTCCACGTGGACTGCGTTTACACATTAGTGGTGAAATGCGTCATTGTGTTCTTATCGTTTTCCTGGTAATAGGCTAAGAGAATTCATTGGCATTTTTAACAAAACAGTCGTTTTAAATGGGTTACAAAACAATAATTGCGTCGTACAAAACAATAATTGTGTTTCTTTTGTGTGCACATATGTAGATAATACTTACTTAAAAAAGGTTCATACATTGAATGACTCATAAATGTATATTTACAATAGCGATGGTCTTTTGTATTTTTACCAACTTGTCTATATATGAATGTTCTTAGTAATAACAAAATAGTATTCTTCATTTAATGGGTTACAATTGATACAAAACAATAATTGCATCGGTCTTTTTTCTATGTACGAATGTATTTAATCATAGATACTAAATTAGATTGCATTTGGTATCTTTGAACTTTATCTGTCTGTTGATGAAAATATCTAGTTTTTTGTTATTTGGCGAGAACTAATATGAATTTATGATAAGATTATTATTTTTTTTAACTATAAGTCATAAGTATCTCATGCATCATATCATCTCTCCTCGAGATCAAAACGATTACACAGTAACAATGTACTATGATATGTATTTCTACGTATAAGTATGACATTGGTAACTTTTTCAAAAGAAATGTAGGAACGATATTGACTTCTTTGCCATAACACATTATAATAAAAAAAAACACTAAACGGCTACAAATAAAAAAAAATTTTACAAAATAAAAAAACCGCCTTCAAAAAAAGTCAAGCAATAAAAGTTCCTACACTAAAAAGTAAAAAATAACAATTTGAATTACTGTAAAAAAACTTAGTTTATAGGTAAACTTATTTGACATTAATATTTTGCAAATATTCAAAATTTATTACTTATTTTTGGAGTCGGTGCCAGCCCATGCAAGGAAATACAAATGGGCAACAATCCCTTGAAAAACTACCTCTTACTTAATTATAAAACTACTTAATACCTATTTGCATACTCAAATATAGGTATATTAATTAAGACATAAATACAGATTAGACTTCTCTACAAAAAATGTCCGATTTGCACATTTTTTTTAAATAAAAAATATATACTTACAAAAACATTTTAAGTACATTGAAAATGTTTAAGCATTAAGTACGAAAAATGGCACCGGATATTAAAAAGCTAACTAACATTAAGTTTCAACATTAAAATGCTGGCACCGACTCCAAAAATAAGTAATAAATTTTGAATATTTGCAAAATATTAATGTCAAATAAGTTTACCTATAAACTAAGTTTTTTTTACAGTAATTCAAATTGTTATTTTTTACTTTTTAGTGTAGGAACTTTTATTGCTTGACTTTTTTTGAAGGCGGTTTTTTTATTTTGTAAAATTTTTTTTTATCAAGAAGGCCGCCTCACCAGAGCTCGGTGTTCGCTATGAACCTCAGAATACAGAACAAACCAGAAGCCGCGTTCACTCATAATTACATGTCGTCAAATGTGTCAAAAAACAATACGTCAATCCCCCCGCCAGCCGCACTTCCCACCCGCGTAGTGTTGCCGACAGTGGAACAATTCCCTTAGTTTGTGGTAATTTTACAACAGGAGGGTAAGATATTACGAGTAAACCCAACAAAATAGGTAAACTTACGATAAATGCAACAGACTAGTTGTTCACACATTTCATAGAGGTATCATAAAAGTTGACGATTTCTGGATTTGTTAATTTTAGTTACACCTACAATATAATAAGCTATATACACAACCAATAAAATAAAGCTTCAATAAGTACAAAGGTTTTATTGCGTTCCCTTTTGCTGGTTTAGTTTTTTATATGTATTGTCTTTAGACTCGGAACTAAAGATTACAAGTCTACTTACTTTACTTAGTTCCTGAGATTAGCGCATTCTAGCAAACAAATAAACAAACTCTTCAGCTTTATAATTAGTATAGATATATCTTAGTAGGATATGCTGTTTTCAAACCACCTTTGTCATAAATATATCTCTTCAAAGTAAATTGAGCAAACTATGCTCTGGCTAGATGGTTTCCAAAATTAATCTAACCGTGCCCTTTGTATGATTTGTATTTATTTTTTGTCAGGGAAACTAATATGACATAGGCTCCATAATGGACAAAAATATAACCCACAACAAATAAATAAGTGGGTAAAATTTTCACCAAAAATGACAACACTTACAAAATGGCCGCATCATTTTCATAGAAAAATAAATCGATGAAAAAAATTCAATAATTAATTAAATATACTATTGCAGCCGATGCTTGCAGATGAAATGTAATCTTATCCACTTTTTTCGTATTTCCAGTCGCATTTTTACTCGTAGTAATAACACAAGACGGCATAATGAAATTAAAATTGATACTCGTAAATACGTCACGACATGCCACGTGCCAAAATTGACTAATCGTAGAAATTTCATACTATTCTAGTTGAGAATGGTTTTAGTTGCTTCAGTTTGAAGCGCGATGACGCCTTCTGGTTTGTTCTGTATTCTGAGCTATGAACTTGAAATAATTACGACAGTGAAGTTTGACATCGACGTATAACAAAGAGGTTTTACATGCACTGATGGCCAGTGCGCCGACATATACTTTGTTAACCTAATTTTGTCTTTACCGCTGTTTAGTGACTTTTGATACAATGATGTTCAGCGACATTTGGATTGAAGGTGTACAGCGACTTTAGGAATACTAGTGCACAGATACTTTTGAATTAGTCGTGTGTAACGACTTTTGTAAATTTCTGGTGTACAGGCTATTTTTTTTCCTAGTTACGACTATAACTTATGGAGTTTTATTGTGAACAGGTGTTTTGGTAAGTTGATTCTGTTCATCGACTTTTGGAGCTGACTGTACATTCCACTGAAAACTGCTTTTTGTGTCGTGTTCATTTATGACGTTTTTATGAAAGAATAATTCAACCTATTTACCGAAAAGTTCCTGTAGAACCAAGACCAAGTTAGCACTAATAATCAGATAAATGTTATCTCAAGAATAAAGTTGCTGTCACTGTCATATACAAACATTCTGACGCGACAGCATCATAGTTATTCCCTAGACAACTTTTATCTAACCATTGAAAAATCACCCCTTAAATGTTTTTCTAATTTCCTCCAGGTGGCTGCGATGCGCAACCAGAAGGTGGCCGAGAAGTATGTCAAAGAAGTGGAACAAACGCTCACCAAGCACGGATATGTTCAGTAGAAAGGAGTATAATCAAAATAGGGCTCATTTCTTAGATCTACACCTTTAATATTTATTTTTCTTACCAATAAACGATTGTGTGCCTTATTAAGTACCGATACGGGCGATAACAGTGTTAAGGTGCAATAAAGAAAAATACGCAAATGATATTGTTTTAGAGTGATTGTGTTGTGTGTGTAGATTTACGAAAATTATGTTTGCGAAATACATTTATTTGAAAAATTTAAACGAGTTTTTAATAGATAGGTACTTATATTATAAAGCTGAGAGTTTGTTTCAACGGGCTAATCTCCGGAACAACAGAATAGAGGACGTAAGCTATAGGCTAAAAAAAATCACGCTACGATTTGTAGGAATGAAACCACGCGAGATTAGCTAGTGTTAAATAAAATTAGATATTGTCAAAAGTCAAGATTTAATACTAAATTCACTAATAAAAAGTACACAATTACATATACACAAGTCAGCCATAACATTAAGAATTAATTCATAAACAATAAAACATTCACACACATAAAAACTAATAATTCCTATAGATTTAACCACTCAATGGGAATTTCCCAAACACTGGATTACACTAGTCAATACTGGACAAAGTATTTTCAAACTCATATTTGTAGAATATAACACCAGTATTATTACTGCTAGCAATAAAAGCCAAGTAATGGGAATTTTCCCAACACCTGGGTAACTTGGTGACCCTGTTATTTGATAGCCTTCTCTCCAAGTTTGACGACTTTGTCGAGATTATCTTTGAGTGTTTTGAGTTGATTGAGCACATTGGAGTCCATTAGGGAGAAGGGAATGTATGCTTGTGACTGGCGCAGCTGTTTGGGCTGGAGGGAGAGCATCGTGCCATCTTGAAGGAGGATGTTGCAGTTCGCCATCTCGTCGGGTTTCATTCTGTAGGAATGAATTATATATTTAACTAATGGCAACATAAAAAATTGTTGGTGCGCTGCTTATGATTTAAAACCTTTAAAATAGCTTGAAATTTGTTTTATCTTACCTCATCCAACAATAACAGGGTAAACCGTAAACCATGAGTAAAATGAAATGAAAACGTCTTTTACAGTAAAAACGCTACAGTTTAATAATGTAAAAATTCAAGATGATAAGGAGTACCATTGGTAGTAGCTACAGAATTCATAATATTTTCAGTTCCAATGAATTTAAAAAAAAAATATACTTACGTGTAACAAGAAGGCACCATGACAGGCGAACCAGACATGGAGACAACCATCTCTCCCTGTCGTGGTTGACGCAGCACTGTAAGTGGAGTTTGAGGGGTCACCTGGAAACAACAGAGTATTCACATAAGAAGGACTTGTGTAGTTAGGAACGTGAAATCTTGACTGAATCTGATAACCAGGTCAAAAGCAAAGTATTATTGGATTTCCTCCTAAGCGGATAACTACTCTAAACCATGTTTCAGCCTAAACGGCTCGTGACTGGACTGATACTAAGGTCTTATAAATATGGACGTGTAACAATGCTTGCGTTGTGTTTCGCAGTGAAGTAACCAAAAGCCCAATCCTCTTTAAGGGTGCATTTGTAACTCTTTAGGTGTAGGAGTGTTTTTGGGCAGTGCTTACTATCAAGTTCGTAAGATAGTCGCTTGATTTAAATCTCATTAAATATTTATTTCTTACCTTTGGTGTAATAGCAGGATAGTTGACGGCAGAATTCTTGTTGTAAGCCGGTGTCCGGTACACAGAGCGCGAGCGACGTCGCTGCACGGTCTTGTTGGCCGTGGGCGGCGCCAGCTTGCGACACGATGCGTCCGCTGAGCGGGAGCGCCGCGCTGTGGCGGTGGACCGACCTGTTGTGGACCTACCTACTGTTGTGGGTACCGCTGAAATAAATGTTGTAATAAACATATAATATATACGTTTTTTCTATACTATTCGGTTCAACAGCACACTTATTTACATTATTAATTATAAATATTTTTACTAAATAAAATGAATCAATGGAAATTAATGTAAAAGCTAAATCTATGAGCAAGTTAAAAAGAAATAGATATGAATATGGTAATATGATACAGATGCCATACATACACATATAGTATAACTTCAGAAACAAGAATTTGAAAGCTCCAACCAGATGTTTAGCCTTGCTTTACTTTTTAATGACAGTGATTGGCATGATCAGCAATTTTGTTAGTTGCATATTTTTCATAATACATAATATTGATCTGTTCCTCTCAATCTCATTTTATGTACCATATGACAAGTTAAGCAAAGCTAGACCAAACAAAACCAGTTACAGTATAAAAGCAGTGTACTCACGTATTTGCCTCTTGCTGCGGCCGCCGGAGCCCTGCGACGAGTTCTCCGTCAGATACCCTGCCCCAAGGAAGCTCCCCGTTAGTGGAAATATGGTTCAGGGGTTAGTTCATGGCCAGAGACCAATGACAGGAGGATTATGTTACCGATTGAAGAGTGTTTGAGCAAGATTTGTGATCTTTAGTTAATAAGTTAATGAGTAATTAGGACATTTATTTCATTATTTTGCAATAAATGGTTGCTATCAAAAAGAAAAGTATTTGTGATGTAGCTTAATCAAAGTCAAAATAGAATAAATAGTCTGTGAGTCTGTTTGTCTGTGAAGATAGGTGTCCATTATTGTAGATTCAAATGGAGAAGAACTATCAAGAAACTCCATGTATAGTAGAAATATTAATGTTTATGTAGTGTACAGAATTCAAGAACAAGCAACTAAATAATGATCCTTCTAGTCAACTAATAGCACTAAATACATATTCGCCTACACTACCAGACTAAATTAAATATTATTCCATGTCAATATTACCAACAAAAAAAAATCTACAAAAATTGTTACAAAATACTGATGAAACCTAATAGTTCACTATGTTGTATTTTCGTGAAACATACAACCTAAGTTCATTCAAAATAAAAGTGAATTTATTGAGACAAACTAGTTTCAAGTCTTCATCGGACTATTATTGATGAGCGTAAGCGTAATACATACTAGTAGGTTTACGTTATTTTTGTATTTACTTTTATTTTAAAATGAGTACATTTTCATTGAAACATGATGCAAATTTGACCCAACAAAATTGCTACATTTGGTAAGTGCTATGATGGCAGTCATTATACTCAAAACTTTTTTCCAGCTTGGATACTGTGTAAACTGGTGCCCGTTATATTAGTAGAATCACCCAGAATTTTCCCAAGTTCCGGAATTATGTTAAAAAATCAAATCATTGTATTAAATAGGTGCCATGATTTAAGAAAGAATTATTGAAGGATACATTACCATCATCATGAGAAGCAGAGCGGCTTGAATGTCGAGTCCTTCTTGTGTTTGATGTCACTTCCTTTAGGTGTAATTCTGATTTCTGTGAAATTATTATTATAACTATCATCAATTCATACTTCAAAAAGTTTGTTTTTCTTCTCACATGGAGAAGGAATTACCATTGATAACTTGTAAATTGGAAATCTAAATATTTTTACTGCTAATGTGCCCTTGCAATGTTTCTGCACTAATCATTAATGCCTAAATAAACTTAGAAAGTCTCTCTCTCATCTCACTTTGTCAAAGGCTATTCTTTTCTTTCTATGCAAATAAATAAATCTATTCTATTCGGCAATTAAAAAAGATAATAAAACACTTATATCAATAACAGGTTTATAAGTGTTTTCTTCTAGCAATGTACAATATTTATATTACAGAATATTTATATAACAGTCACTTTTTTATTCATAATATCTCAGTCTGTGTACAGGTTGTTTTCAAGTTGTTCTTACCAGTTGTCCAACAGTTTTCTGCAGATAAACATTGCTGATAGACCCAAGCAGTATCTTGAAGGCAAGCTCAACATTCCGTAGCTCCATGTGAGCTCGGGAGTCTATTTTATTCTTCTGGTCTGTGACTGAAAATGTATTTCAAACTTTATGTTTGTAAATCATCATATATCATGCAAACATTATATAAAATAGGACAGTATGTAAACGTTTGTGTATAAAAACATTGCACGCATTGTCAATAAAATGAAAATAAGATAAATATATTAAAAGTTATAGTATAGGAAATAGACATTACTACTTTATCAAATTGTAAACAATGTAATATTGAGTAGGTATGTATTCGCGAGTAGTGGTCGATGTACATTTTTTTATCAATCTCATAATATCAGCTAGAATAAGGTTTCTGAAGCTATAGTTTACGAATACTCACCCAGTTTGTTAAGTTTTTTCAATGCATCGTCGTCTTCCCCGGTCTTTTCCTGTTTCCTTACGGGTCGTTTAGTCCGTGGCATTTTTAACTAATCAAAGCTATTTACAACTTAATTATACAGTTCCAATATTTGCACTACTATTTAGACCCGGCTAAAGCTTTTTTTTTTGCATCAAAACTTATTATTTTAAAATAAAACTTAAAAGAAAATTCAAACGTGAAACTAAAACAAAACACAAACGGCCATTTTTTAAATGAACTGGTCGGATACGTACCTACACGAAGTTCACATAGATTGTCAAAACTGTACACATTGAAGAAGTCAAAACACAAAACCTTTTAATAAACTTTACTTATTCAATACATAAATATCAAGCGCATAATAGTAGTACAATTATTGTAATGAAAGTCTAAGGAAATTTTGTTTGATCAACTTTAAAATGCTTTTTTTTAATAAGTTGACACTGTTTTTGTATCCGAATGTAAATATTCGTTCAGAAACACTCGATTTAATCGGCCAGCCAGAATGTTTTCGTATTGAAACTTCACACGGATCACAAAACAGGAAGTCAATCCTTCGAAAAGGAAGTGGGCCTGTATATATACTTGTACTATTTATCGAAAAAGGATATATATTGGCCGTTTTGCAAATATATAGTATTTAAAATTATAAATAATTTTTAAAACATTCATATATTCTACTTTCTATGGTAACTTATTACTACTTGTTACTATTTAAGAGACGCCCATTTGACTTCAGTAGTGTATTGTTATGATGAATGAAGAATGGCGGACGTTGTCATATTACGATATTTGTTCACATTTCTATTGATAAATGCTTGCTGTGGTAAGTTTTTACTAATATTTCAATGCCTGACTACAGTTAAAAGTGTTATACACAAATTATAAAAGTGCAGATTTTCATAAACCAGTGTAAACGTGAAATTTGTGGTGGCTTCCGTGTTACAGTTTTTCTATTATTGTTTTTCTAAAGAATTTGGTAAAATCTTATTAAAAAATGTGTTTAATTGTAGTACTCAGTGTTAAATCTATGGTGTTACTTGAATAATCGAAGTAAAAGTGAATAAGATGATAAAAATAAAAGTTGTCCATACATGTAAATACGATTGTGAAGGCCCAAACTGGAACAACTGTTTTACACGGAATTTCAACGTGATAGTAGTCTGGTCCATGACTCAAAACATACTTATCTTAATTAGTAGACAACGTAACTTTGAACTTTATAAACATAACTATAGATTTTATATTGATACTAGCAAAAACCAGGTGGCTATTATAACAAAATTATTGAAAGGCACTTTTGGTCAGCTAGTACCCTTAGTAAGAATATTTAATAATGTTTACAGCAGGGCTACCTGGTCTGGACGAAGATGAGGTGTCAGGCAGCACACAGGAACCTGAATCACAGCATATTGATGACCCGATCACAATTGAAAAGATGATGGTACAACAACCAAGGTATTCTATTTTAATATTATACCTGATAACAGTATTCCATGTGTAATGAATAATATTTATTAAATACTAAAAATGTACTTTTAGTATAGATTCTCCATCTAAAATTCACATTTAACTCTTCCATACAAGCTCTATGCTGGAAAAATACTCTAATTTTGATTGCATTGTTAATCCATAGCTCTTTATAATAACCTGATCAGTTTTTAAATTTTATAGAATTTCAAATTATATTTTGTAATAATTCAAATAGAGTCTGTATTTGATTTAAAATATAAATTTTTCCATAATATCTGCAACTTAATCTTGGTATTATATTATTATTTAGCATTAAGACACTACCTACTTAATAAGCAGACAGACCAAATTAATCCATATAAATGATTATTTATTTATTTATTTATTTATGATTAAATCATTACTATTTTAATAAATTTAAATAAAATTAAAATCTCTGTTCCCAATGCTATCAAGGAGGAGGAAATTTCAAAAAAGGTAATAATATACTTTATAAAATACTGGCCAGTATGTTCCATTCATAAAAGAGGCTGATAATAATATCTATGAATGAATCACGGTATGAATGGGCTTTATCATTGTCCCTATATTATTTATCTGTCTGTTATTATAGAGTTGTGTATTTATTTCATTATGAATAGAGTATTATTTTTATTATTATCATATAATTTAAGATTTAACTTTGTTATTTATATTAACCTTTTTGCTATGCTGAATGATTGCTAGATAATAGTGGTACATACAACATGAGCTGTATGTAAACTGTAATAGAAAGGAATTAAAATATTAAAAGATTGAAGATAAAACATATACCTTCACTGTTCAATCACATCTGTTTTCCTAAAATTGATAAGAAGAACAGTAAGGTCATTCACCATGTTCAAATGCTTCATACATCTGTAATTAGATCTATGAATTCACAGAGACAATGATTTCATCTTTTTATTCCTTTTAAATGGTGAGACAAGGATGCAGTGTATAATTGTATATACAGCTAGCTAGTGCGGTTTCACCCGGAACTCAGCTCCTATAGATCGTAGCGTGATGTTTTATAGCCTATAGCCTTCTTCAATTAAATGGAACACAAAAATATTTTTTAGAGAATGTTTGTGTTATATATGTACACATCTAAGACAGAGAGTAAATCGTAGTATAGTTTATTTGGTTTATTAAACTGCACAAAATAGTTATTCTAACACTTGATTCATCCTTCAGGTACAAATGCCATCAATGTGAGCCTCCGGAGTGTGGGTCATCCAAGGAGGAGATATGTCACGACGCCCTCTACTGCTTCAAGTCCTCAGTGCGCGCCTCTGACGGGGAGTTGAGGCACTCGCGAGGGTGCTCCACTCAGAGGGATCATTATCAGTTCACTTGTCGAACTAATACTCCGCAGCAGAGGTGGGTGGTGATGTTTTATAGTTTTTTCATGTCAGGTCGGCAAACGAGCTGACGTTTTACCTGATGGTAAGCAATCCGCCAATGGACACCCACAACACCAAAGGAGTTGAGTGCGTTGCCGGCTTTTTGAGGATAAGGTTTTTGGACAGTTAAGGATTGAGAAGGAATGGGGGAGGGGAAGGGATTTGGCCTCTGGTAACCTCAATCACACGGCGAAAAACAACGTTGTGTCGACGTTGGTCTCATAAAAAACCGGGATGACAATTGTCTCACGCCGGTTTTTTATGAAACCGTGGTATTAATCCGGTCGACCCAACCCATTCGTGCCGCAACCTTCGGCTCTCCCACACCTAGTAGTATTGTAGTATTTTATTGTAACTATATTTTATTAGATTTTACTTCTAAAACCTTATTTTAAATAGCAGCATTTGTTTTCTGCGTTGCGATAGTCAAAATTACACTATTAAGTGTTAAAATAGCCTCCAACTCTGCAGAATTGATTTCATTTATATTGGGGAAGACTTAAACACTAAAACTTTAAACAAATCGTGTGTCGGATTTTTCAATGAGGTTTTATTTATCACATTACGTGTCGCGGGTTCGATCCTTGCACGAAACAATTCTTCTAGTGTGAGGTATGCGTGATTTTGTATGTTGGTAAACACTCTCACTATCACGATAAAGGAAATAATTCTAAATGTTGCCCCACTTTAAAGCTCAGGCCACACCGCCATCTAGCGGGCGGGCGGGCTAGGCGGATGGGCGAAGCGAACGAAGGGAACTATACAAACTACGCGAAATATTGGCGAGCTAAACTATGGGGTTCACACCAAAAACAAAACACTACACTGCTATTCGAAAGACAAGCGTCAACTAGTCTACTCGAAACGGGGAGGACGGGCGAACGAACCGGGAGCGCCAACGAGGTGAACGAGTAGCTTCGCTGGAATCGTCGGATATTTCGTTAGCTTAGCTCGTTAGGTTAGTCGGTAGCTCGCGGTGTGAACCGAAGTATGTAAAGAGGTGAAACGATGTTCGCCCGCCTAGCCCGCCCGCCCGCTAGCTGGTGGTGTGTCCTGCGCTTAAGATTGAACATAAAAGAAAAAGAAATCTTCTCGTCTTTTGTCCATTTATCTATCAAGATTTATGATAAACTTATACTAAATTTCATTATCTCCTCAGCCTCCGCAAGCGGCACGCAGGTCTCCACAACATATCGTGTTGCCAAGGCGACCTGTGCAACGCGGGTACGTTCCCCGAGCTGGCCCCGCTGGCCGACACGGCCATAGAGCCGCTGCCGTCCAACGCGTGGAAGCTGTGGGCCAGCGTCGCTGCCTCCGTTCTCGTCGTCAGTGCTATCGGGGCTATGGCCATCTTTGTACTGCGCCGGAGTCATAGGTATGTGATATTATTTTGATTACACAGTGGGCGCGGTGGCTGGGCCACTGGCCGGCGTGCAAAGTGTCGCAGGTTCGATTCCCGCACGGAACATCTCTTTGTATGATCCAGAAATTGTTGTTTCGGGTCTAGGTGTGATGTGTATGTGATATTGTATGTTTGTAAACGTACCCACGACACGGAAGAAAATACACTTTGGAACGAGCAAATAGCTTGACTAACACCCGGTTTCCGAAAGGCCGATCAATGTTGAAATCAATTTAATCTCTTGTCAAGACATCTGATTGGTTGACAGAATTATCAACAATCAATCAGATGACTTGACAAGAGATCTAACAGTAGATTAGATAATTTTAGAGTTGACAAGCCTTTCAGAAACCGGGTGTAAGACGACTGACCGACAGACTGACACTTTATATCTTTAAATTGTGTTTAATGTTTAAAAGTGCCTGTAAGGGTCTAATTGAATTAAATGATTTTTCACTGTTTTTTTACTAGTGTTGGGCAAAGTGTGTTTCAAAAGACATAAAAAAACTATTTATTTATATAAAATAACTATTTAATTATATTATAAAACTATTTATTTATATAAAAAAATGAGCAAAATTTTGTTAGTTGCTAATTCTTTTTGATGCGTCACCAAACATCAATATGTACTTAGTAATAAATTGGTTTAATGGTCCTCAACCTAAACTAAACTTTTAAATTTTTTTTCTTAATCGCTGAAAATATACTTAACACATTTTATAGAAAATTAATAAAAAAGGCTTTATTATTATGATGAATTAGTATTAATATTGTTTGCCCCATCAGGTTGCGAGTCTCCCGCGCCGCCCTACACAAGCTGGGCGCGGACTCCAACTACTTCTCGTCCAACATGTACAGTCCGCACGTGACCAGCGCTTTCTATGAAGGTAAGAGTGATATTACAGGTACTATTTGGAGTTTGGAGGTATGAGAGAATAGTATGGAAAGTTCTTCATCCTCCATTGAAAAGTGAGGACCCTCCGGCCTTGTGTCGGGTGAGCTAACTACCCGATGGTTATTGTCGGGCGCCGCTCATGGACCCCCGTAACTGAGGAGTTACGAGTGCGTTAGCAATTTGGAGATTTAGGGATTGGGGGAGGGGAAGGATTGGGCATCCGGTAACCGCACTCACACGGCGAAACACAACGCTGTGGTTGTTTCACGCCAGTTTTCTGTGAAGCCGTGGTATCGCTCCGGTCGAGCCGACCCATTCGTGCCGAAGCATGGCTCTCCCAATACAATAAAACTCCAAATCTAACATGACAGAACCATTTCTTCTGTGATACCCGAGTTATTTGCACATATATGTACAAATAAACTAGCTGGTACATGTAACTGTCCTTGTATCCTAAAAACTACATTCATCAGATACCTCGGCATCACAATCGACGAAACTCTCTGTTTCAAACAGCACATCAGCACTCTAGTTTCAAGAGTCAGAAAGTTGATGTACATTTTTAAAAAGATGAGATATATTGGTGACATGAAATTAATCACGCAAGTGTACCAAGCCTTATGTCAGTCCATTATACAGTATTGTATTAATTCTTGGGGCGGTGCATTAAAAACTGTTATTCTACCTCTAGAACGGGCTCAGAGGGCTATCCTTAAGGTAGCATTTTCTCTTCCTTTTCTTTTGCCTACATCAATTCTATATAACACCTGCAATGTTTTAACTGTTCGCCAAATTTACATAGTACAACTAATACTTAAACAGCACTCATTACTCACCTATAAAACTAATTATTTTACTAACAAAAGACGGAATGACATAGTTTGCAATTCAACTTCAGTGTCAAAACACGCCTTTATAAAAAGATTTTTCATTTTCCTAGGCCCATTTTTATATAATAGAATAAATAGAGAATTAAGTATTTATAGCCTTAACCATTATCGTTGTAAAAAAGTATTAACTAATTATGTACACACCCTAACATATGAACAAACTAAAGGAATTACTTGAGGTTTGCAAATAATATATATATAGCTGACGTCTGTTTATGTAATTGTACACGCGCACCTGTAACACTTAGATACTAATTATTTAAATGACTTGTTATATTTTATTCGTTTAGTTTGATAAGCAATAATATTGTAGTAGAAGTATATCAGCACTTTTTTACCTGAAACACAGGTTTGCACCTAGTTCAGGTTGATGTTAAACATAGTACTTTTTCTAGATTTTAAGATCTTTTTTTTTTTGTAATCTACCTTTTTACAACAAATAAACATTATTATTGTAAACATTATTATTATTATTATTTCTTTCACTTTAAAAAATAAAACATGTTATCTCACTCCCCAGGTGTAGAAGGGTCCCAAAATGGCGGGGGGCTCCGCGCGACGGCGGCCGGTGACTCGACGCTCCGCGAGTACCTGGAGTGGTCCGTCACCAGCGGGTCGGGCTCCGGCCTGCCCCTCATGGTGCAGCGGACCCTCGCCAAGCAGGTCTCGCTCTGCGAATGTGTTGGAAAGGTGCGGATATCGCCATTTTCGATAATATCATAGTTACTTCAGTTGACTGCACCGCTGGCACACAACATGTCGCGAGTTCGATTCCCGAAAACAACTAATTTTGTATGATCTACAGATTGTTGTTCCGGGTCTAGGTGTGATGTGTACTTATGAGAAATCGCATGTTCGTAAACGCTCCCACGACATAGGAGAGAATCCTAACGTGGGGACGTTTTTTTTTTAAACAGTTATAAGTACAAAAAGGCAGTGGAAACCAAGTTTTATTCGAATTAAGCAATAGAGTTGTATGCTTGTTTAAGACACACAGACTATAGATTTAGATTTTGTACGATAACTAACTCAAACAGATGTCTTACTTACACACTAGCTACTCTCGCGCGGTTTCACCCTCTGCTGAGCTCCATTTAATCGTAGCGTGATGTTTTATAGCCTATAGCACTCAGGAACACTGTAGCTATCTATCAGTGAAAGAATTTTGGCAATCCGACCAGCGGTTCCAAAGATAACCCCCTACATACAAACTTACAAATTTTACCTCTTTATAATATTAGTATATTAGTATAGATAAAATAAAATAATGAATTATGAATAATTTTTAGCCTTCATACATAACTCATTAGTGTTTTATACTTAGTAATACATCAAAATCCTTCGACGTAAATCGTTATTTACATCCACACCGCCTCAAAAACATTATAACCACATAAAAAACCTTATAACCATGTATCAAAAACCTCATAACCATCTAACAAGAACCTCATTCTATCCCAGGGTCGTTACGGCGAAGTATGGCGCGGTTCCTGGTACGCGGACAGCGTGGCTGTGAAGATATTCTTCTCCCGAGACGAGGCCAGCTGGAGGAGGGAGACAGAGATATATTCCACTGTACTCCTCCGACATGAGAATATACTCGCCTACATAGGCAGCGATATGACTAGCAGAGGCAGTTGTACGCAGGTAACTGGGTTCTTATATATATTAATACAATGTACTATTCATCATCAGCCTAAAGTGCCCACTGCTGACCAAAGACCTCTTCTCACACAGAGAAGGTTTGAACATTAATAACCACGTTTGCTCAAGACCGGTTTTTCTTCATCTTTTTTCAGTGGTGTCTAAATAATATTAGTAAGTAAGTAAGTTTAAGTTTAGTCTACATATAGTTAGGAAAAAGTCACATTCGTACTTACTAGTTTTCGAAACCGCACCCGCATTTACGAGAAGCGGGCGCGTTACCCTCGGGGCCGCCACGATTTCAAGTTACATGTAGGTGGAATTACAGAAAACCTTTTTTATTTTCTCATTCATTTTATTAATTCCTGTTAAAATGTTCTGTGAATACATGAATTTCTTATGGGTGTAATTAATAAAAGTCAAACTATAGTCAGACTTTTAATTCGATTCCTGATTTGACATGACCTATTGTCATTTTGTGAAATAATGATACCACATATAACAATGTAGTGATGAACACAAAAATCGATAAACAATCAGTGAATCAGTTTCAGGAAGGCATTCAAAAAATTACGGCTACCGAATGGTCTAAATGTCTATCCCATGTTTTCAAAAAAGAGGAAAAAATGAGTAAGCTAGATATGTTAATTGACAATAAATATCAAAGACACAATTCATAATAATTGTTACATGGAGTAACGGCGAGAGCGATAGCGATGACGGCGACAATTTATAAAATGTCTGTTTTATTTGTCACGTTCCTTCATGATCACATTTTTTATTAATTTCACACACAATTACAAAAGAAAAGTCTCAGATCGTTAATTAATTGTCAAAACTAAATTATCGGTTCAGAAATATTTTATTTCCTGATAAACTTAGTTTACGAGAGTAAATTTATAAACGAGAGGAATCGATTCAGAAAAAATCGATTTCCACATCGAATAATTTCGCAACGTCACTATTTATTACGTGTCATAACGTTGCAACACTGAAATTGTCAAATCTGGAATGGAATTAAAAGTCCGAGTATAGAAGTGATTTCATCAACTTCAAAGAACTACTAATATAACCATAAAAATCTACGCAATAATCACAGCTACATTAATACATTTGAATATGATTTTTTACATATATAATTCATGTGAAATAAGTAAGGTCAAGAAGTAAGACTAGTAGTAGCTAATTAGTCAAATACATTTTCATGAAAAAATAAACCTCTAGATTAATGACGAATGATTATGACAATCCCATCATTTTCAAATTCTCATTCAAACTACACTATACCCATGTAATACCACTTTCCAATCATCTCCAGCTATGGCTGATCACCCACTTCCACCCGCTGGGGTCCCTGTACGAGCACCTCAACCGGACCACCCTGACCCAACACCAGATGATGGCCATCTGTCTCTCCATCATCAACGGCCTACTGCATCTACACACTGAAATACATGGCACACAGGTATGGAAATACATCTTTCTTATTACTAATATTATAAAGAGGTGAAATTTGTATAATTCTAGAGTAATCTTTGGAATGTTTGCGCCCATGGACTGGTGTCCATGTCCGGCGCCGCGTAAAGTTGTTACGAGTGCGTTGCCGGCTTTTTGGGATGTATAGGGTTTCAAGATTGGGGAGGAATGGTGGAGGGCAATGATTGGGCAACCGGTAACCTCACTCCCAAGTCGCGTTTCTGTGAGGACGTGGTAATAATCCGGTCTAACAGACCCATTCGTGCCAAAACTTGGCTCTACCACATTTGATTGTTGAAAATTTTTATATATCTAAAGTTTTCCAAATACCTTATTTCCAGGGTAAACCAGCAATCGCCCACCGCGACATTAAAACAAAGAACATCCTGGTGAAAGTGAACGGAGAGTGTTGTATAGCCGACCTGGGTCTGGCGGTGACCCGAGCCCACCTGACGGCCGGCCTGCATCATAACCCCCGCCAGGGGACCAAGCGGTACATGAGCCCAGAGATGCTGGATCAGAGGTATGGACGAAATCTATCTTTTATTTTTATCAAAATTGTTTTTTCATAGTGGTTCTTCATGAAGTCATGACTATGAAGTTGCCGCTTTTGATATGATTTTTTTAATAGATATAGTGATTGAAGAGGCAGGTTTATAATTATGTGAAATAATGTCCATTAAATAGTGGAGAAAATTTGTATCAGCTTTACACCCGTGCGAAATCTGGGCACACAATTTTTGGGTTGGTGACACGAAAGGTGATCTATCGGCAAGTGTTGGTGCTTTGTGTGTTTCCCTCCTTGGGAAGGTGTGAAATTTTCTGTAACATCATCCCTCAATGTCTCGTGAGGTGCTTAGAATTTGGGTTTCTTAGGAAAACATGATGGATTGTGCTTGTAAAAAAACTATAATCAGTAATTTATGGACTTAATAATTTAAACCATACTATTATAAAGCTTGAGAATTTTAATTAAAATGCTATTGATAGTTTAAAAACCATTTATTATTTATTACTCGTAAAGTAAACACATACTTTTGTACAGTTTTTCCACATTTCATTTTGTGTCTTCAGTATAAGAGTGTATGGTGTTGTTGCAGCATGAACGTATTGTCCCTGGAGTCGCACCAGCAATGCGACGTGTACAGCGCGGCGCTGGTGCTGTGGGAGGTGGCGGGGCGGACCCGGCCCGCGCCGCGCGACTACCGCGTCCCATACTACGACCTGGCCCCCGCCGACCCCAGCTTCGACGACATGAGGAAGATCGTCTGCGTCGACGCCGCAAGGCCTGAACCACCTGATGATCCGCATCCTGTAAGCTTTTATTATTTACTATAAACTGTAGTACCATAAAAATTTGCCTATGTGTTGTTCCAGTCTTATAATCCATCGATATGCCAAATTTAATTAAAATCCAGTCAGAAGTTTTTACGTGAATGAATAAAAAATATTATTTTCGCCCGCGTGGTATGTTAATAGAAAGAAGCCATCTACAGTAGTCTACATACCGAATCTCAAACAAATCGGTTCTGTCGTTTTTTCAAAATACATATAGTTTTTTCTCGCTAATTTTCGCATTAAGTTTCTCATAAGTAAGTCCTGCAATATAAGTGAATTGATTTTGATTAAATGTACAAATCTTAGTCCAGAGATAATAATGGAATAACATATAGGCAACTTTGTATCACAGTAATTCGAGAGAGGCTAGAATAGATCCCTATAACTTTACTAAATTCAAGATTTTGATAAGAACTAAGACTTGGCATATACTACTTTGTTGTATACACAATTTTGCACTATATACAGGGTGTAAAAAGACACTTAACGAAGCCGTTAACTACGCATACTGCAGTTCTAAGTAGCTTAACGCTAAAGTTATCACTGGGAAACGACTTTTATTTTTAGGTATCAAAAAAAAAAAAAAATATTGCGCACAATGTAAAGCAAACGGGCTTCGTGTCATTGTGTGTGTAGGTTCACAGCTTAACATTAAAACGCTGTGATAAGTACGTAGGTCGACGTTTTACATCGCAACAACAAAACAATTCTGTAAAATAAAAATCCTACTGAGATGCACGATTTTTTTGTGCGGGTCTGCATTTATTTATTACGTACATTACTGTTCGTAACTTCAAATGCGTAATTTATTTAGAAAAATCGTTATGTTTGTTTGGAAAAAAGTTTTGTAATAATACTTAGAATTCGATTGCGCAAAAAAAAACAAAAATTAAAAATGCATCTTTGACCTTCAATATCTCGAGAACCCGTGGAATCCCAGCAGGTCGTAAGAAAAAAAGAATCCAAATAATGGGTAGAATACGTGGCTTTCGGCTTCGTTAAGTGTCTTTTTACACCCTGTATTTTTTATCTTATGTTTTGAAATCTAAGTCAATTACCGAAAACTAACAAATTCGTCTCTTTCCGCAGACAATGGTGGGTATGGCCCAGTTGATGCGTGAATGCTGGCACCAGAATCCGTCAGTCCGCCTCCCCGCGCTTCGCATCAAGAAGACTCTCCTCAAACTCGCTGCAGCCGACAACTCCATCAGACTTAATGAAGATAACGAGGTCTCCGTCTAATATATAACTACGTAGCAACTCAGGTATATACATAAACTTATTATGAAGGCCTAAATAAGGGGTTCTAAGATCTAGTGTCGGATTAAACGAAACAGGGGAGGATTGGGTAGTTTCCTAGGTCAAAAATAAATTACTTCGACGTTTCAATACAAAAAAATATTGAAAAATAACTATACTTTCATTCATCGATCAATCGATACGAGTACTAAGTTTTAATATTTTTTAGCTAATTTTTAAGAAATAAGTAAGCTATTTGACGGAAAAATACTATAACTCAGTATTTCATACAAATTTCATAGAAAAGTGTCGTTTTTGACATTTGGATAAAAGTATTGAATTTCACAAGTTGGAAACTACCGTATTTTTGCTTTAAAATTATAGTTTTCGCTGTTCTAATTGGGGGCTGGTAATCTGTGTGACAGGGTTTCCTAGTGCAGATACCAGTCGCCTACAAAAAGGTTGAATCTAACAAATATGTATAAGCTATAACTGTAAGACATCTTTGTGGAAGATAATAGTACATTATGCTACAAGTGTGTAAAGTACGGAACCCTCGGCAAAACTTTTTTATTGAAAATCACAGGGTGTCCTTGAAAAGGGTTTACCGATAAAACATGTCTATTTTTCAGGGATTTCTGTAAAATATTTAAAGACCTTTTAGTACATGTTGGTACGGACCCCACCCTTGATTAATCCGCCACTGATAAGGCCCCAAAGATTGAAAAAAGAACTTTAACGTCATGCATTTCATTGCGTATCGAAAACGTTGTATCGAAGAACAAATTTTATTTGCCATATTTACTCAAAATCGACACAAGTATCTCATAGATATAGAGTTCAAAATACAATGAGCATCTAGAATAATTGTTTTTTTACAAAATATGACTCTTATTTACTTAGATGTAAGGTTTAGTTTACAACTGTTATTAACAGTTTATAAGCTTTACGTTGAAGTAAAATATATGTAATTGCTTATTATTTATAGCTTAGTTATTGATATCAGACTAAAAATCGCGTGCGACGTCGTTTCGGAAGCGTATTTCAAGCGTTTCCATACTGCATAATTTTAAAATTAAAATAGTCTATACCGTGTGAGCGAGTTCATCGGAGGTCAAATCCTTCCCCTCCCCCCATCCCTCTCAAATCTAAAAACGTCCCATTACATAGAACAATTTAGTTTTTGACATGCCGGTAAAAGTGTTGAATTTGTTAATCTTCTTATATATAAAAATGGATCGCAAAATGTGTTGGTAAGCGCATAACTCAACAACGTCTGGACCAATTTTTCTAATTCTTTTTTTGTTGTGTTTGTTATTGTCAGGAGAAGGTTCTTATCAAAGAAAATATTAGAAAAGTAGAGGGGAAGATTAGGATAAAGTGACCCTTCGATAGCGAGATAGTTGGACCCGTGCGAAGCGGGGGCGGGCCGCTAGTTTACTATAATATTCCGCCCGCGTACAGTTGCGTTACGCTTATAATACGCCTGTGACACGACGTCGTACGCAAAGTATAACTACGTATAGTAGTCGGCAAAGTAGGTATGTATGTAGAATATGGTACTGGGGTTTGGTGTTTTATAGAGGAAATTGTATGTAAAGTGGTTTAGTACATCCAGTTTATAAAAAACATTCCCACACACTGGCTATCGGATCCTTCTACTTAAAACTTTACGCCAAAATTTAACGTTAAGTCATCGCTTTATGGAGCCTTTGCTGTCTGTGTTCCCAAGACTGTATAACCTAGGCGTCTTCAAGGCCCGAGTGAATAGTTTGCTTATGGATAGGCATGCTCCATCATAGGTCGCGTTATCGTTTACCACCAGGCGTGATAGCGGTCTAATGTCTGCCCGATACGAAATAAAATAAAAACAACTTGTGTTCCAAGTTGTTGTCCAACATATGTTGTCATTGTAATTGCAACATTCAGAGACGATTATTTAAACTATTAATTAGTAAAGATTTTGTTCCAAAACCGATTGAAAACCGTGAGCACACAACAAACGTGTCACAGAGCGCCATGTTATGCCTAGAGGCGTACAAATATGTTTTATGTTGTACATTTAGCTCACAGTTACATGTCTTTAAAAAAATATCATGCATAATTTTAATATGGTCTGGGATTTTTTTCGCATAATTATTAGATAAAAATGTCAAAACTTTTTACCTGAGTCAAAATAATTAAAATGTCAAAGCAATTATGAATTAATGTCAATAATAATAAATTACTTTCCTAAAGTAAGACAAAAATATTTTCCTAAGGCCTCGGCCTAGAGCAGGAGAAAAAACGGGATGGTTTTTAGTCAGTAAGATTCTGACACTTTCAGAGCCATTTGCTGATTTACCTCTCTACAAAAAAGGGATTGATATCTCCACAATTCTATCAAGTATAAGTTTCCTCTGTAAACGCGAAGCCCTTTCTTAGTTACTTAATCATGAAGTGCCGAAAAGTATTTGTAATTAGATGATAAAATGTAAATTTATAAAATACTGTACATATTATTACTTACTTACTATAATTATATTATAGAATTTTTATATTAGAAGTTTTACGTATGTCATTTTGAATACTAGTACTGTGGATTTCTATGTCATGTTTTAAGTTTTGTAATGAAAAATCAACTTTATATTTTACCTAAAGGTAGTATAAATTGTAAATTTTTAATACGATTTTGGTATGTAAGACAATATTTTAAAACTTCAAACCTTCAAGAAACGAGCATATTCCTTCTTAAAAGGCCGGCAACGCACCTGTGACTCCTCTGGTGTTGCAGGTGTCCGGCGGCGCTGATCGCTTACCATCAGGTGATCTGTCTGCTCGTTTGCCACCTATTCCATAAAAAAAATTCAACTTTTGTAATCTTGATCATCTATACTAATGTTCAATATAAAATGTGTAGTAATCAAGGATCGTCTGGAATGCTACTAATGCTACCGTTTTTTTGTATTGAACTGTCATATTTTTCGTCTTATAGGAAATTAGCTAGAATCCACACCATTGGACGATCAATTTTTGACCTACACTGATAGGATAAATTGTCATCTTTATAAATTAGCGCCATCTTTTGAGCTAAAACGGTAGATTTATTACATACTAGCTACCCTCTCACGGTTTCACCCTCTGCTCGGCACCTACAGAACGTATCGTGATATTTTATAACCTAAAGCCTTCCTTGATAAATGGACTAAAACATACAAAAATAATTGTCAAATTCGAACCAGTAATTCCAGAGATTAGCGCGTTGAAACAAACAAACAAACTCTACAGCTTTATAACATTAGTATAGATTAAACTTTTAAATTGGTAATGGATATATGAAACAATAAAATATATGAATAAAAAAACTTGATATTAATTTAAAAATGTCATAGAAATCCACAGTATAAATACTAATATTAAATATAAATAAAAAGATGATTAATTATATAAATATTAGCGTGTAGTTTTAGTTAGCTTCGCGTCGATTTAAGACGTTTATAACTATATTCAGTTGCCATATCTTTATGTACGTATGTATATCACGGAGGTTTTAGCATTTTTTTGTACTATAAGTTCTAAGTACAGAATTTACTATGATCGTATATTTGTATGATTTTTTTTAAGTTTATATTGTCACTGATTTTACTTCTGTTTATTGTGAAAGAACAGAATTCTATGGCTAAATATTGCTATAAATATCGCATAGGTAATGAAAGCAACTTTAAGGTAACAAGCACCTAGCTTCACTGACAAACAGACTGACAGACTACTATACTATTTTGACGTTTCAAAAGTACATATATATGGTATAGTTGGAATAAATGATTTTGATTTTGAGTTTGAACAAAGAATTTAATTCTGAAACTGGTAAAATAGAGTAATTATAGAGTTTCTTGCTTTGAGTTCTTGTCCATAGGAATCTAAACTTTGGAACATGCAAATAGCTTCACTAGAGGACTGATCGACACTTATCTTTTTTAAGTGTAATTTTATTATTTGTTTAGATGTTTAAAAGTGTCTATAATTGTTCAAATGAAGTGTCTTATTGTTAAAACAAGGCATATGCACAGTTGAATTTATAGTTGAGAGTCCTTCGAAAGAAAAAACGTTATAGAATCTGCACGTCGATTCTATAAAATTTATTTGATTTTGAACCTTGAAAGTGTGAAGTGAGCGTCGAAGTGATGGAGATAACATTATAGAATGCCACTTTTAACGTCATCTCATACTTTATCTATCAAAATGTTGCGGTCAATTTAGTTCAACTCGCAAGTGTAGCGCTAGTGTACTACTATTCACAGCGGATTCAGATTCGAAGTTTAGAATGAAGTCTTACAGAATCACACTGCCTGACTTTAAGTAAAATGCGTAATTAAGTTATGATTTTCAAATTAACTTGTTCATGTTAATTGGTTTTGGTAAAATTAGTGGCAATGTAATAAAATGTTGGTGTCATTGTATTATTATACATAGTATAGAAACAAAATTATATTTACCTTGTAAATGTTGTTCAATGGTACGCATGGAGATGGTAACTCCTCTCAATTGACTTAGGAAAAAAGAAATCGAATCCTCCGACCCTACTACACGACAGTTGTAAGTTGCTATAGCGACATCTACCGCACAATACGCAGCAACATTATCCAATAACATTCAAGTTTCTAGATCACAGTTCTCGACACAGGTACAAAATTCCCGACAACAGCCGTCGGGCAGTAGCCCACCAGACATAACACCAGTCTGATCGGAGGATCCTCCCTTTTCTATAGAGGTTGAGGAACTCTACAATCTGTTCTCTCATTCCTTTGAGCTGGGAATATATGTATAATGTTGTGGTGGATGTCATTACATTTGTGATTTATAGTCATGTTTAATCGCGCGAAAATTGGTATTGGGAAATAGGATTGAGGATTTATCATTGTCGTGTAATGTTTTAAAAAAAACTTCGTTGAGTATAAAGTTTTAAATTTTAAATATGGTTTTGTTGATTTTGAACGACATTTACAAGCGAAAAGAAGCTTTATTCGAAGAAAATTCTAAGAATCTCTCTTGTTTATAAATCAAATATCTAATATTGATGTAATGAAAAAATTATTAACAGTAAAATTCACTTGTTGACACTACACTGTATAATAATAATAATAAATTTAGTTTGTTAAGTAATA